ACTATTGACTTTCATAACTGACTGATGTCGTCTCTAGTTTGTGAAAAATGTCCAGACTGGATATGTCTCGGTGCAACAACTCATTGGGACAACAGATTTTTAGCCACACAAGGTTGTCCAGCTATGAGATGTCCAGTCAGAAATCCAAAGTCAGCAAAGAGGAGGAACATCCTGACAGCAGAGAGTCAGCAAAGAGCAGGAACATCCTGACAGCAGAGAGTCAGCAAAGAGCAGGAACATCCTGACAGCAGAGAGTCAGCAAAGAGCAAGAACATCCTGACAGCAGAGAGTCAGCAAAGAGCAAGAACATCCTGACAGCAGAGAGTCAGCAAAGAGCAAGAACATCCTGACAGCAGAGAGTCAGCAAAGAGCAAGAACATCCTGACAGCAGAGAGTCAGCAAAGAGCAAGAACATCCTGACAGCAGAGAGTCAGCAAAGAGCAAGAACATCCTGACAGCAGAGAGTCAGCAAAGAGCAGGAACATCCTGACAGCAGAGAGTCAGCAAAGAGCAGGAACATCCTGACAGCAGAGAGTCAGCAAAGAGCAGGAACATCCTGACAGCAGAGAGTCAGCAAAGAGCAGGAACATCCTGACAGCAGAGAGTCAGCAAAGAGCAGAACATCCTGACAGCAGAGAGTCAGCAAAGAGCAGGAACATCCTGACAGCAGAGAGTCAGCAAAGAGCAGGAACATCCTGACAGCAGAGAGTCAGCAAAGAGCAGGAACATCCTGACAGCAGAGAGTCAGCAAAAAGCAGGAACATCCTGACAGCAGAAAGCCAGAGTCTAAACAGAGAGTAAGAACACCATGTCAATAAAATGAACAACCATCATGAGCTTGTGTGTTCCTCTGACAAAATATGACCGGACTACACTATGTAGTTGTACCACACTCAATCACACATTGTAGGTGTACCACACAATCGCACATTGTAGGTGTACCACACTCAATCGCACATTGTAGGTGTACCACACTCAATCAGCCACTACAGGGACACCAGACTCCAACACACTGTCTGGCCTCTAGTACACTCAACACACTGTCTGGCCTCTAGTCCACACAACACACTGTCTGGCCTGTAGTCCACACAACACACTGTCTGGCCTGTAGTCCACACAACACACTGTCTGGCCTGTAGTCCACACAACACACTGTCTAGCCTCTAGTCCACACAACACAACTCACTGTCTGGCCTCTAGTCCACACAACACAACTCACTGTCTGGCCTCTAGTCCACACAACACAACTCACTGTCTGGCCTCTAGTCCACACAACACAACTCACTGTCTGGCCTCTAGTCCACACATCACAACACACTGTCTGGCCTCTAGTCCACACAACACACTGTCTGGCCTCTAGTCCACACAACACAACTCACTGTCTGGCCTCTAGTCCACACAACACAACTCACTGTCTGGCCTCTAGTCCACACATCACAACTCACTGTCTGGCCTCTAGTCCACACATCACAACTCACTGTCTGGCCTCTAGTCCACACAACACAACTCACTGTCTGGCCTCTAGTCCACACAACACAACTCACTGTCTGGCCTCTAGTCCACACATCACAACTCACTGTCTGGCCTCTAGTCCACACAACACAACTCACTGTCTGGCCTCTAGTCCACACAACACAACTCACTGTCTGGCCTCTAGTCCACACATCACAACTCACTGTCTGGCCTCTAGTCCACACAACACAACTCACTGTCTGGCCTCTAGTCCACACAACACACTGTCTGGCCTCTAGTCCACACAACACAACTCACTGTCTGGCCTCTAGTCCACACAACACAACACACTGTCTGGCCTCTAGTCCACACAACACAACTCACTGCCTGGCCTCTAGTCCACACATCACAACACACTGTCTGGCCTCTAGTCCACACATCACAACACACTGTCTGCCCTGTAGTCCACACATCACAACACACTGTCTAGAATCCATACATTTAGAGAAAACAGCAGAAATGTATTCAGTGCTGTTACTGTGTAAAATATTCAGTAAATACGGTCACACCCTCAAACAAATCCCCAAGAACATTATATAACCTTGTATATACATCATGAGTACAAAAACAAACAAATACATGAGACATCAGTTATCTGTGATGGACAGACATTAAGAATCCAGAAATATCTGCTGCTCTGCTCCTGCATAATTGCTGGCAAGGGTTTATTTTCCTTGATCAGGTTATTGATACTTTGTGAGCTTACCTGTCTGCAGAATGTCAGTCTGTCTATGACACAGGGTCAAGAGACATATAAATACTTTTCTAGATAACATCTGTCACAGATGTGAGTGGGTTTGATCAAGTGACTGTAGGACTGTAGTGTGAACACCTGTGTGCTAGTACTGAGCTCAGAATTGAGGTAACCGAGCTTTAGTCTGATATTGCAGCAACATATAGTTTGACTGATAGGATGTATGACAACAAACATAACCTGACAGTGAACAGTCTAACCTGAATGACATTATATGACAGCAAAAGTATGTGATTTCTGACAGAGCAAACATAATCTGAAATTTTTAAACATAACCCAGACTGACAACAATCACGGCCTGACTGACATATACAAGATGTTCAAACTGTCACTCCTAGTGGGTTTTATTTTTGAAATATGAGACCAGAATTAAACTATCAAACAATGAACCTGTAAAACATTTATACCACCCCTGCTATCTGCCAGTGAGCGGACATTGCAGTCATGTGAGCGAGTGTTGCTGTCCGCCGCGATACAGTGAGCAGAGTTTGCTGCCTGCCACAGTACAGTGAGCAGAGTTTGCTGCCTGCCACAGTACAGTCAACAGGGTCTGCTGTCCTCCATGGTACAGTGTGCAAACTTTGTCTCCTGTCATGGTACAGTGAGCAGGATCTGCTGCCCGCCACAGTCAGATGTCACAGCCATATAAAAACTAGGGTGTTTTTCTGACTGACAAGCATTTCCAGAGGACATATCTTGATGTCACATCAAACATACATGTCAAATAATGTATATATCTTGATGTCACATCAAACATACAAGTCCAATAATGTATATAAGTTACATATGCATGCCCAGTGGGACACTTACACATTGTTAAAATCAATATTTCTGAAAGATGATATCATGTGACTGTCCATTCTGTGTGTGCCCTGAGTGAAGTGATTTACGTATTACACATTTGACAGTTTGCCATCAACACAAACTATCTGTTTAAAAACACAGAATAAATATGAGCATTGAGGCATAAAAAAATATGCTCAGAACCACTGGAAAGTGCCAGTGACAAGCACAAAGTGATGCAACCTACTACATATACCCCAAATAAATATTTTTTTCAGTGGTATTATTTGAAAAGAAACAACCATTGCTCATACACATGGTCGGGTGTCACTAGACATGATCAGTCATAATTTATACATCTCATCAACAGAAATCTGGCATATTGTCCAGGCAAATACGCTTGGTCCGTGCACAACAATTGCAAACAGAAGGTTCTTAAATATAACACTTGCCTCATGTACGCCTGTGGGCGGGATATTTGCCACATATACACCCCTGAAAAAGACACTTGCCTCATGTATGCTTCTGTGGAAAAAAAAAACCATTTGCCGAATGTGTACACCCCAGGGGAAAAAATACTTGCTGCATCTGTGCCTATGGAGAAAAATAAACACTTGCCACATGTACAGCCCTTGCCATAAGTATGCCTCTGGGAGAAAAAAAACCACTTGCCGCACTTGCGCCTCTGAGAAAAATACTTGGCGCATCTACACCCCTAAAAAGCACTTGTTGCGTATACATTCCTGAAAATAACACCTGCAAACAGTACTTTCTTGAGTATAACATTTGCAAACTGAAGACTCCAGAAGAAACTGCCTGCACGCTATACAATAAAGAGAAAATTTCACACACACACACACAAAATACACAGAAAAATGTACAAACTAGATGGTTTATCGAACAACATAATTAGAAAACAAATGTTAGCATGGAAGGAAACCTCAGAGACACTGACAGCAAAACAAGAAAATTAGCAGAAAAATGTCATAACTAAGTGAGACTATGAACAGCAGAAGTGTGAGAGTTAACAACAACATCAATAAAGATGCACCAAACAGACAAACAAACTTATTTAGGAAAGTGAATATTTTGAATCACTCCTAAACAAACCTCCCAATCCCCATAACAGCCGGAAATCAACTGTGATAAATCATCTAACTGAAAAAATTATCAGATTCATGAGGGCAGGGACAGATGCTGGAGGTGACTATAGCATTTACTAATAAACAACAAACATCATTAACTTACAGAAATGATCAGATTCATGAGGGCAGGGACAGATGCTGGAGGTGACTATAGCATTTACTAATAAACAACAAACATCATTAACTTACAGAAATGATCAGATTCATGAGGGCAGGGACAGATGCTGGAGGTGACTATAGCATTTACTAATAAACAACAAACATCATTAACTTACAGAAATGATCAGATTCATGAGGGCAGGGACAGATGCTGGAGGTGACTATAGACTAATAAACAACAAACATCATTAACTTACAGAAATGATCAGATTCATGAGGGCAGGGACAGATGCTGGAGGTGACTATAGCATTTACTAAACAACAAACATCATTAACTTACAGAAATGATCAGATTCATGAGGGCAGGGACAGATGCTGGAGGTGACTATAGCATTTACTAATAAACAACAAACATCATTAACTTGGAGAAATGAAGTAGTTGAACTGACTGACTCAAGTAGAGCGGTGGGAGAGAGCTAAAGAGTTGGTACAGGATTGCCCACAAGCAGAAACCTCAGTATAGTATAATGTCCTATCACCGGAACCCACTGGGCAAAAGTGAGGGTGAACAACAGATTTAGACACACATCAATAAAAGAGAACATTGGGGGGTAGCAGAAGACTGCCATGATTTGGTTGAGGTTCTATAATCTAATGTGGAATGCATGGCTAAAGCAGCATGTTCAAAAATAACACCTGCACATTTCTCATTCCAGGCAACAATTGAAAACTATGCATACAAGAAAACAGTGTTTCATACACTTATACAACTGTGAAAACGGCACTTGCAAATCGCACAACCTCCAAAAACACACAAAATTACAATTCACACAAATCACAAGTACCAGAAAGAAAAAAAAAATTGCAGGTACTAGGAAACAAGTACCAGAAGAAAAGAAAAAAACAGAAGTTTCACACAGATCGCAGGTACCAGTTAAATTTAAGAAAATAGAAAGGAAAAAAAAAAACAGGCATAAGTTTCACAAATCAGAAAATCACTCGGGCTGTGCAGGTCTGTGCTGTGACTATGACGGATTAGATAGGAGAAAGTTTCAACTGGGCACACACAAAACTTCACATCTATGCACTTCTCAACTGGCTATACTGATGTGGCAGAGACGAGACACTGCCATTACATTCTGTGACGACACTGTAAAATACAACTGTAGTCTGATAGATGAGTGTTTCGAAGGACTGAATGTAAAATGGGCCTGTGTGCCCAATTTGTGACCCACTGAAAATAATAAAGGTTGTTGGTTCTATTAGAAACTTTTGCAATGACATATTTTCTCATTTAAGTGTTCTGTGGCCCCCACTGGAGAAACAAGGGAAAGGGGGGACATTATCTTGAAGTTATTTTCATCAGAATATTTCATACAAATCCTGAAATTACTGACAAAATTATCTGCAATATAATATTTGATACACATCCTGAAATGATTCATTAAAATGCACTCTATACAGATTGTGAAATTATCTATCCCACAAGAAGACTGTGTTTCAGTTCTTCAATAATCTACGATGCCAAAAAAAAATGCAATTTTTACATGATATGTGAAGCAAGTCATCAAGTGTAACAGATAATCATGAAAAGTTACAAAATGACATGTGCAACAGTTGGTCATAAACATTCGTGAGAAGTGCAAGTTTGACATGTGGAATGTTTGATGTCATCAGGCATTCATGCCAGGCCAGGCCTGTGTGTGACATAACCTGGGCTCTCAGGTCGACCCAGCCTAACATGTGTAGCAGGTAAAGATTAGGGAAGTAAAGGCGGCCGACCTGATGTTAATCACACCACCCATTGAGGGCCAATTGGTCTCTAAACATATGAGTCTGGCCTCCCATGCCCGACCGACCACTGGTCTACTAATTGCCCAGTCAGTGGAATGAATGCCAGCTCTGCTGGACCACGAGGCCTGAACACTGGCTAGAGTTGTAAACACTTCTCTTAGTTTGGCCATGTCAAAGAAAAAGTGAATCAAACAGGAAAATAACATGACACTAACAACTTGAGGAAAAAAGGTGTACAAATTAACATTGAATGATGGAAACATGATACTAATACAACTACTGAAAACATACAGACATGTTTACTGATGATTTGCCTGTACGAAAAACCAGCCTCTATATATCTATGAAATCAGCTTAGAAAACATGGACAAATCTACAGGTCAACACAAACAAACTATGAGATGACCCAGTTAAATCTTCCAGTTTGTATGTATATAATCCTATCGGACAATTCCTTGAATTCTTCCATTTTAAAGGTAAAGTCGGGAGATGTGAACCAGTGTCATTGCACATGGTTATAAACCAGTACGGACAGCTGATAAGAAACTTTCCGCCTGTGTCGCCGTCCACACGCAACTCCATAGCTTCAGTGACGTTCCTCCATTTACCCCAGAGTGTTAACTCTGGTACCCATTATCTAGAGGCTGGGTGAACCCTGGGAACCGCCCAGTTTCGAACACCGACCGTGAGCTGCAGCGAGTCGCAGCTGGATTTGAAAGCTAGCCTCGTATTGACTGCCCTAGCGCGGCCCCCATTTTGTTCATTTTTCCATTATGTATACATTTATCAGAGCTTGTTGATGCCCAATGTGGGTTCTGTGACGCATTGTAGAGAAAAAAAAACATTAGACACATGCCTACGTAACAAGCATGTCATAAGAGTCGACCAAATGAGGGCATCCTTCCAAGTTGGAGTGCATCTGCCTGAGAGGCAAGGAACCAACTGTCTGCAAATAAATAAGCCAGATTTGTAACATGGATGTGCACACGACACTGAGTTCTGGAACAAGGCTAAAGGTTAAAGGTTGACAAACGAGCAGAACTTTCTGCAGGAGTTAATGAAAGCAAACAAAGAAGAAGAGATGTTCATGGTCCAAAAGTTCTCACAGGTCAAGGGTCAAGATAGAAAAATCGTGGACGCACACGGAAGATCATTTTCAAACAAACATTATTTGTAAATTGTGTTTCAGAGTAATGTACAAATGGAATTATATAATGTCGATGATTTCTGATTTTAGTTACTGAAGAAGAAATTCTTCAGAAATGTACCGCAGTTTTCAGGGAGAGTGCCGATTACAAATGTCATGGTTAAACAGCTGACCTCTGACCTGGACACACAGAGATATCAATGTGGAGGTTACAGCAGTGATGACAAATATTGTACAGTATCGGCGGTAACGAGTGCACATATCCATCACCGTGCACATGGATAAACAAAAACATCACATTCTGAATTCAAGGTTACACTAAATTTTCAGCATAAAATACACTATCTTGTAAATGCAGCTGTTTCTCCTCCTGTCTGCGAATGAAAAACTTTCTCACTTCGGCCACAACAAACACGGTCGATGTCAGGGAAATTAACAGGCAGAAATCTGCAGAATGAAACAAGGGCAAAAAACATTAAAGGTCCGTGGATCATCATCATGTAGCAGGTCCTTTGCAGAACACCGCTCTCATCACAGTCTGCCTGAAAGAAACTCGGTCTCTCGCCAGTTCTCCCGCCTCATGAACTTCCACATTCAAGGAGTCACCTATATCCTGTGCCCATCTTCGTGTCGGTCGGCCCCTGCCCCTCCTTCCTGGTACCATGCCTTCTGCTATAATTTTTTCCAATCTGTTGTGGCGCTTGATATGACCAAAATATTTCAGCTTTCGAGAAAGAATGCTGTTTATTAGCCAATCTTTCTTGATGTTCAGATTTTTTAAGATGTCAATATTTCTCATCTTCTTTGTCCAAGATATTCTGAGAATCTTTCTATAACATTTCAGCTCAAAAGCCCCTTTCTCTTTCTTAAGGACGGAGAGATAGTCCACGACTCACATCCGTATGTAGCCACAGGGAAGATGCATGCTCCCAAAATTCTAATTTTTATCTCCTTGCTGGTGCTTAACCATTGACTTTTAAGGCTGTTCAATCTTTGCATTGCTACGGCCATCTTCCTTTTAATTTCTGTCAAACAGTCTCCATTGTTTTTTATTTTAGAGCCTAGATATTCAAAGTTTGTGACATTTTCAATTTCTTCATCATTTATTGTTATTTTTGGGTGACAGCCAGTTTTATCTGTGGACATTATTTTCATTTTCTTTAAATTCAAGAACAGATTTTGATCTTCATTGTGCTTTTGGACGGACAATATTAAATTTTCTATTCCCTTTACGCTGTTCGAAAAGAGGACTGTGTCATCTGCGTAGCGGAGTTCCAGAATAGGGTTGCCACCAATTTTAAGAGGATCATAACTGTCACAAGTCTGGTCATTTTTGACATTTCTAATTATATTTTCTGCATATATATTGAATAGGTATGGTGAGAGAATGCATCCCTGCCTGACCCCCTTTTGCACCTCGAACCAGTCAGATGTTTCACCAGCTGCTCTGATGGCTGCTTGTTGTTCATGATAAAGATTTTCAATTAAATGCACTAAATGCGCTGGAAACCCCATACTTTTCATAACAGTCCACAGTTTGTGGTGTTGGGACACAATCAAATGCCTTGCTATAATCAATAAAACAAGCATGAAGATCTACGTTGTATTTTTTTAAAATTTATTCTCAGGTTAAAGATGTGATCCCTAGTTCCTCTACCCTGTCTGAAACCTGCCTGTGCGTCATCTAGCTCACACTGTAATTTAGTTTCAATCCTTTTCATGATCATTCGTAAGAGGATTTTGCTAGCATGACTTATTAATGCGATGGTACTGTAGTTGGAGCATAGTTTTGGATTTCCTTTCTTTGGGAGAGGGATATAGACTGTTCTTTTCCACGCTTTAGGCCAAATGCCACTGTTCCAGATCTTTGAGCACAGTGCATGGTAGATTCGGACGCTGGCCTCTCCTCCTGCTTGAATCAGTTCTGCTGGTATTTCGTCGCAACCTGGTGACTTTCCTTTCTTTAGGCTGTGTATTGCCGATTGTACCTCATCCAGTAAAGGCTCTGGTTCCTTTTCATAACTTTCACAAGTCGTTTTTGAATTACCTGTCACATCCTCATACATTTCTCTACAGTATTCTTTCCATCTTTCTAATTTGTCTTTGGTTTCCGTTAATGTGTTACCGTTTTTATCACTTATTACATGTAAAGAAAGCCTGAATTCACATTTCAATGTTTTAATTTCTCTGTCTCTGTCTCTTTCTTGCATCTGGAGTTGTTCAATTATATTACAGGTATCTATGATAAACTGTTTTTTTTTTATCTCCTCAGATAGCTCTTCTGATTTCGTGGATACGTTAAAGTAAATTTCTATGATGAACAAAAGTCATTAACAGATTCACTTAACTCTTCCAGTCCCAAGAAATGCATCATACATTCATAGGTTCCTACTTAGAAGCGCAACAAACGCATTTGAAGTCTCTCTTTATTACCCCCCTGGGACTGTGCTGCAAAATCCCACAGGACTCAAAGAGTTGGGGAAAAAACTACCGCTTCTGCGGTGCTGAAAGAATGGGGGGGGGGGGGGGGGGGGGGTCCGTGAGTCTGATGATTTAGGGCCTTATGGCTAGTGCTGTTGCCACGAATGGTGTGGGTTAGTATTGTTTGTTGTTGTTGCTGTCAGCAGAAACAAATGGCAACATTTTTGGGAATTTCAAAACTGGGTCTCCCGCCTAGAGCAGACATTGGTCAAATCCAAGATCACCTTGAGCAGATTAGGCAATAACATGGCGGGCAATGACTTGTGAGTATCAGAAACTTGAAGTCAGACAACATTCAAATACAGCAACTTGGAATCAAACATCCAATGAGACCCTAGGACCCACAAGAGCAAGATAGTGAGAGATGATTGACATGTTTGATGACAAGGGGACAATCTTTCATTCTTTGGACATGTCAAGAGGAGAAAACTGTCAGGCAGCAGGGCAAGTTGGAGGGAAAAACTGTCATGCATCGTGGCAGCAGGGCAAGTTGGAGGGGAAAACTCATGCATCGTGGCAGCAGGGCAAGTTGGAGGGGAAAACTGTCATGCATCGTGGCAGCAGGGCAAGTTGGAGGGGAAAACTGTCATGCATCGTGGCAGCAGGGCAAGTTGGAGGAGAAAACTGTCATGCATCGTGGCAGCAGGGCAAGTTGGAGGAGAAAACTGTCATGCATCGTGGCAGCAGGGCAAGTTGGAGGGGAAAACTGTCATGCATCGTGGCAGCAGGGCAAGTTGGAGGAGAAAACTGTCATGCATCGTGGCAGCAGGGCAAGTTGGAGGGGAAAACAGACAGACATAAACCAAGAAAGAGATAGTCAGACCCACATAAAACATACAGTACCATGTAGAAAATGGCTGATAGCTGCACTAACTTATCATAACAAGCCTCCAAACAACTGGGCCACTCACCTGAGAAATGTAGCGCCTCCGTCTGAAATATTTTCTGCAAGGGTGGGAAATAGATGACCAGCAGCTGACCGATGATGGATCCCCCGACGGCGTACAGGAACATTTTGTTGGAGGTGAGGCCGATCTGGAAGATGGACTTGCTCTAGATTGTATCAATGTGGACATAAACAGTGTCAGTCAATGCTGGTAGGGTTCACTGTATATCTTCATATCTACAGGTTTGTGTCCGAACTCCAGAAAATATCTATTGGGTCTCCTCAACTTACAACAGAGCTCCATTCCAACTACAGGTTGTGAGTTGAGCTGGTTGTGAGTTAGGCACGTTGTGAGTTGAGCTGGTTGTGAGTTAGGCACGTTGTGAGTTGAGATGGTTGTGAGTTGAGCAGGTTTTAAATGTACAATTATTGTTCATAATGTGAAACGTAAACAACATGTACTCTACTGTCTTGGTTCACTGGAACTTTCTGACCCTACCAATGTAGTTATTTTCTTTATTTACAATTTTTATTTATTTATTTGTTGTGGTCGTAAGTGTGAATACTCCTAGGTTGCATAGGCCTGAAGTCGAGGAAAGGGTGTATGGTGAAACATGATTTTACATTTGGATGGACCTTTTAACATGCATCACTATCAGATCCAATAGACTGCACACACATAAGCCAAATCTGTAAAACAGATGTGCACGCAACACGCCAGTCCTGAAAGAAAGGCAAAGAAAATCCAGAAATGGATGAACAATTAGTACTTGCTGCCAGAGTTTACACCCAGGAAACAGAACAAACTACAAGGTTCCATAGAGAACATTTCTCATCACAACTAGAGGGTAAAACTCTCAGCCCTTTTCCAGTTTCTCTGCTACCTTCCTGCCCGTGATGTCTTCAACATCCTGTCTGTTCGATCCCTGCCCTTGATGTCTTCAACATCCTGTCTCCACATTTGTACTGGTCGATCCCTGCCCTTGATGTCTTCAACATCCTGTCTGTTCGATCCCTGCCCTTGATGTCTTCAACATCCTGTCTCGGCATCTGTGCTGGTTGATCCCTGCACCTGATGTCTTCAACATCCTGTCTTCACATTTGTGTTGGTCGATTTATTCCCCTGATGTCTTCAAGATCCTGTCTCCACATCTTTGCTAGTCGATCCCTGCCCTTGATGTCTTCAACATCCTATCTCCACATCTGTGCTGGTCGATCCCTGCCCTTGATGTCTTCAACATCCTGTCTCCCCATCTGTGCTGGTCGATCCCTGCCCTTGATGTCTTCAACATCCTGTCTCCACATCGGTGCTGGTCGATCCCTGCCTCTGATCTCTTCAACATCCTGTCTCCACATCTGTGCTGGTCGATCCCTGCCCTTGATGTCTTCAACATCCTGTCTCCACATCTGTGCTGGTCGATCCCTGCCTCTAATCTCTTCAACATCCTGTCTCCACATCTGTGCTGGTCGATCCCTGCCCTTGATGTCTTCAACATCCTGTCTCCCCATCTGTGCTGGTCGATCCCTGCCCTTGATGTCTTCAACATCCTGTCTCCCCATCTGTGCTGGTCTGTCCCTGCCTCACACATCACCCTGCTCTTGACGGTTTCAATGTCCTGTCTCCCCATCTGTGCTGGTCGGTCCCTGCCTCACACATCTCCCTGCTCTTGACGGTTTCAATGTCCAGTCTCCCCATCTGTGCTGGTCGGTCCCTGCCTCACACATCTCCCTGCTCTTGACGGTTTCAATGTCCGGTTTCAATGTCCAGTCTCCACATCTGTGCTGGTCGGTCCCTGCCTCACACATCTCCCTGCTCTGGACGGTTTCAATGTCCAGTCTCCACATTTGTTTGTTTGACCTCTGCATCATCTCTCAGAATCCTGTAGTTCTAAACAACGGTGATATCAAGATGACCAAAATTATGCACTTTCCCAAGGTCTGTGATTCAGTTTTCTTTAATGTGCTTTTCAACATAACTAGATGAGAGTAAGCTAACAATATGAGTGCACATCAGACACCACACACATGAGTAATATGAGTTTAATCTCGTGCTCACTAAATGCATCTACTTACAACATTAACTGACCACTGACATGTCATAAAAACTGTTGACCACTGTCATGTGAAACAAACATTAACTGACCACTGACATGTCATACAAACTGTTGACAACTGTCATGTGATACAAACATTAACTAACCGCTGACATGTCATACAAACTGTTGGCCACTGTCATGTGATACAAACATTAACTGACCATGGACATGTGATACAAACATTAACTGACCACTACCATGTGATACAAACATTAAGTAACCACTACAATGTGATACAAACATTAAGTAACCACTACCATGTGATACAAACATTAAGTAACCACTACCATGTGATACAAACATTAGGTACCACTACCATGTGATACAAACATTAACTGACCACTACTATGTGATACAAACATTAACTGACCACTACCATGTAATACAAACATTAACTGACCACTACCATGTGATACAAACATTAGTGGTACCTAATGTTTGTATCACATGGTTGTGATACAAACATTAGGTATCACAACCATGTGATACAAACATTAGGTACCACTACCATGTGATACAAACATTAACTGACCACTACCATGTGATACAAACATTAACTGACCACTACCATGTGATACAAACATTAAGTACCACTAACATGTGATACAAACATTAGGTATCACAACCATGTGATACAAACATTAGGTACCACTACCATGTGATACAAACATTAACTGACCACTACCATGTGATACAAACATTAACTGACCACTACCATGTGATACAAACATTAAGTACCACTAACATGTGATACAAACATTAGGTACCACTACCATGTGATACAAACATTAACTGACCACTACCATGTGATACAAACATTAGGTACCACTACCATGTGATACAAACGTTAACTGACCACTACCGTGTGATATAAACATTAGGTACCACTACCATGTGATACAAACATTAGGTACCACTACCATGTGATACAAACATTAACTGACCACTACCATGTGATATAAACATTAACTGACCACTACCATGTGATACAAACATTAGGTACCACTACCATGTGATACAAACATTAACTAACCACTACCATGTGATACAAACATTAGGTACCACTACCATGTGATACAAACATTAGGCACCACTACCATGTGATACAAACATTAACTGACCACTACCATGTGATACAAACATTAACTGACCACTACCATGTGATACAAACATTAACTGACCACTACCACGTGATACAAACATTAAGTAACCACTAGCATGTGATACAAACATTAGGTACCACTACCATGTGATACAAACATTAGGTAACCACTACCATGTGATACAAACATTAACTGACCACTGACACGTCATCCAAACTGCTGAGCCATATGGGATAAAAACCTGGTGCAATGAAGTCTATTACCTTTACAAATTGTTGACCACGACATGTGATACAAATTGTTGACCACTGACATGAGACAAGATAACAAAGCTGACCAATGATGACATATAAATAGCTGACCATTCACATGATGCAAATCCACTCCCTAAACCGGCAAGCCGCACGCAAAGCCCACGCTGCTGACATAACGCAACAAATGACAGAAAACTCAGGCGAAAATGATCGCCACAAGGAATAAAAACAAATCACACCACAGTTGAACCGACTTCGATATAGCACAGCCGTCATAACTGTCTGCTGACACACAATATTGAGTGACAATCTGGTATCAGTGAGATGACAAAAGAAGAAGAAGTCTATTGACATTCAATGCAGATTAACACAGCTGATGGCTGACATACAATGCAGATGAACACAGCTGATGGCTGACATACAATGCAGATGAACACAGCTGATGGCTGACATACAATGCAGCTGATGGCTGACATACAATGCAGATGAACACAGCTGATGGCTGACATACAATGCAGATGAACACAGCTGATGGCTGACATACAATGCAGATGAACACAGCTGATGGCTGACATACAATGCAGATGAACACAGCTGATGGCTGACATACAATGCAGATGAACACAGCTGATGGCTGACATACAATGCAGATGAACACAGCTGATGGCTGACATACAATGCAGATGAACACAGCTGATGGCTGACATACAATGCAGATGAACACAGCTGATGGCTGACATACAATGCAGATGAACACAGCTGATGGCTGACATACAATGCAGATGAACACAGCTGATGGCTGACATACAATGCAGATGAACACAGCTGATGGCTGACATACAATGCAGTTGAACACAGCTGATGGCTGACATACAATGCAGATTAACACAGCTGATGGCTGACATACAATGCAGATTAACACAGCTGATGGCTGACATACAATGCAGATTAACACAGCTGATGGCTGACATACAATGCAGATTAACACAGCTGATGGCTGACATTCAATGCAGATTAACACAGCTGATGGCTGACATACAATGCAGATTAACACAGCTGATGGCTGACATACAATGCAGATTAACACAGCTGATGGCTGACATACAATGCAGATGAACACAGCTGATGGCTGACATTCAATGCAGATTAACACAGCTGATGGCTGACATACAATGCAGATTAACACAGCTGATTGCTGACATACAATAAGATACAAATGGCTCACTACTTACGTAAGACCTACAGCTGAGAGCGTTAAACATATCAAAGAAAACAAAACATGTGAAGGTCATGGTGGTGTCCCTTGGAGTGATTTTCCCATCTTCCATCTGCCAGAGAAGACAAATGTTATCTATGTGTGATGTCATCTCAAACAATTCAATAAAACATGTAACTGTACTTGGAGAAAAACTGTAGACTGTAAGTCAAGTTTTTAAACTTCCACAAACAAAAACTTCTCAAAAGTAAGTGTTGACTTATGCGGCACAAACAAAAACTTCTCAAAAGTAAGTGTTGACTTATGGGGCACAAACAAAAACTTCTCAAAAGTAAGTGTTGACTTATGGGGCACAAACAAAAACTTCTCAAAAGTAAGTGTTGACTTATGGGGCACAAACAAAAACTTCTCAAAAGTAAGTGTTGACTTATGGGACACAAACAAAAACTTCTCAAAAGTAAGTGTTGACTTATGGGACACAAACAAAAACTTCTCAAAAGTAAGTGTTGACTTATGGGACACAAACAAAAACTTCTCAAAAGTAAGTGTTGACTTATGCGGCACAAACAAAAACTTCTCAAAAGTAAGTGTTGACTTATGGGGCACAAACAAAAACTTCTCAAAAGTAAGTGTTGACTTATGGGGCACAAACAAAAACTTCTCAAAAGTAAGTGTTGACTTATGGGGCACAAACAAAAACTTCTCAAAAGTAAGTGTTGACTTATGGGGCACAAACAAAAACTTCTCAGAAGTAAGTGTTGACTTATGGGGCACAAACAAAAACTTCTCAAAAGTAAGTGTTGACTTATGGGGCACAAACAAAAACTTCTCAAAAGTAAGTGTTGACTTATGGGGCACAACAAAAACTTCTCAAAAGTAAGTGTTGACTTATGGGGCACAAACAAAAACTTCTCAAAAGTAAGTGTTGACTTATGGGGCACAAACAAAAACTTCTCAAAAGTAAGTGTTGACTTATGGGGCACAAACAAAAACTTCTCAAAAGTAAGTGTTGACTTATGGGGCACAAACAAAAACTTCTCAAAAGTAAGTGTTGACTTATGGGGCACAAAACATGTTCACTAATACAAGTCTGATGGAGGATTTTCAACTAAAAATCTTGAGGTCGACTTACTTATACACCAGGTTGACTGGTACACCAGGTTGACTGGTACACCAGGTTGACTGATACACCAGGTTGACTGGTACACCAGGTTGACTGGTACACCAGGTTGACTGGTACACCAGGTTGACTGGTACACCAGGTTGACTGGTACGCCAGGTTGACTGATACACCAGGTTGACTGGTACACCAGGTTGACTGGTACACCAGGTTGACTGATACACCAGGTTGACTGATACACCAGGTCGACTGATACACCAGGTTGACTGGTACACCAGGTCGACTGGTTAACCAGGTTGACTGGTACACCAGGTTGACTGATACACCAGGTCGACTGATACACCAGGTTGACTGGTACACCAGGTCGACTTATACACCAGGTTGACTTGTAATCTGCAATTATGGTACTAATAAACTAAAAACATTCATCAACTGGTGTCTCCACAGAATAAATGGCCCCACCAATATTGCGACAACCGGTATCGTGCCATTTTCTGATTCTAAAATCAGCTCACCACGTTGTCAGTAAAAAAAACATTCCAAATGTGAAATCAGCACTCACTGTGTCACTCATGCCCTCAACTATATATATGTATATTATATATATATATATATAATATAGATCAGATATATATAATATATATATATATATATATATATATATACTATATATATATCTATACATATATATATACATATATATATATATATATATATATCGGAAGAGGGAGAGAGTGAGACAAGGGGAGAATCAGGCTGGATTTAAAAAAAATATTTGAGACACTGACACAGGGAATTCCCTACGCACACAAGGTCGGCATGACTGGCTCCAAGAAGGGGACAGTGAATTCAAATGGCTCAGACAGATCAGATTCAGTCCCTGCTGTGTCAGAAAGTTGGCTGTAAAAAAGACTGCCGTAGAAAGATGCACCCAAGGGACGGTTTCAGAAAGAGATGCATACTTTGTGACAGGGTCACATCGCTTGAACAATGTATTCTGCAAGCCACCAGGGGTTGCATTCACATTCTCTAGGTTCTAACAATAGGGAACTGTTCACATGTACATGGGCCCTCAAAGTATTTCTCCTTCATCTGAGAAGGCTTGACATCTCCTCCACTACAACATAACTAGGTGGGAGTGTACCATCATTCTGCCAGGTGTACACATCCCCCAGCCAATGCTAAGACCAGATAAGATCTAAACAGATAGACCTGTGGTTCTCAGTCAGCTCAAGTCTGAACAGATAGACCTGTGGTTCTGTCAGCTGAAGTCTGAACAGACAGACCTGTGGTTCTGTCAGCTCAAGTCTGAACAGACAGACCTGTGGTTCTCAGTCAGCTTAAGTCTGAACAGACAGACCTGTGGTTCTCAGTCAGCTTAAGTCTGAACAGACAGACCTGTGGTTCTCAGTCAGCTTAAGTCTGAACAGACAGACCTGTGGTTCTCGGTCAGCTCAAGTCTGAACAGACAGACCTGTGGTTCTGTCAGCTCAAGTCTGAACAGACAGACCTGTGGTTCTCAGTCAGCTCAAGTCTGAACAGACAGACCTGTGGTTCTCAGTCAGCTCAGATCTGAATGGACAGACCTGTGGTTCTCAGTCAGCTCAAGTCTGAACAGACAGACCTGCGGTTCTCAGTCAGCTCAAGTCTGAACAGACAGACCTGTGGTTCTCAGTCAGCTCAAGTCTGAACAGACAGACCTGTGGTTCTCAGTCAGCTCAGATCTGAATGGACAGACCTGTGGTTCTCGCTCAGCTCAGTCTGAACAGACAGACCTGTGGTTCTCGCTCAGCTCAGATCTGCAGTTAGTTGTCTGTCCTTTACAGGTCATTGCTGAGCCAACCCCGACATTTTTTGGCTGTTATGAGTTTTTATATGGAAATTCACATTTAAAGGTTGGCTCTCAATATCACTATCGAAACCAGCACAAGGCAGTCTGCTGCCAAACTGTCTGCAGCTGGGATCGACCAGCATTACGAGCCACGCTTGCAATGACTAAGCCACAGACGTCGACCAGCAGAATACTTTTATTTTTGAAGGCTGAGATGGACACTATACCTTTGCTGGTCATAATGAACTTATCATTTATAAATATTAGAATCACAAAAAGAGATTGCATTCTAACGTAAAGGTATTTTGGGGGTAACAAAAATATCACATGTTTAGCCGCTGTGGTGCAGCCACTAGAGGCTTGCCTGCAGATCCGAAGTTAGTTGGTTCAGGACCTGACAAAGCCAGACTTTTTTTTTTTTAATGATCTTGGCTCCTAGGTCGTTCCAGCTTTATTAAACAGCTACCAGGTGAAGTCCTGGGAAGTAAAGGTGACCAGTGTGATATTGACCACATCACCCACCCAGTGCTAATTGGTCTGTCAAGTACAGGTGTGTTGCCTGTTTGCCCAGTACACGTGGGGAAAAAGGACCTTTACTAAAACAATATCACAGATCTATTACATTTGTTTCTGCAGACTCCCTGTGGGGGTGTGGGGTGAAGTGGGGGAGGGGGTGAAGTGGGGGAGGGGGTGAAGTGGGGGTGGGGGGGGGGGGGGGGGGGTCTACTAACCCATTAAATGATGTGAAACAATGAGATAGTGGGTTGCAAGTTAATCAGTTCATCACAAGTTACAAACAGGATGTTAAAATGCCTCCAGTAGCTGGAAATTGCACACCGGAGGCCATGTTAGCTAGCGCACAAGCAACATTCCACAATGAGAACATCCAAGAGAACAGAAGTGTGGGCCAAGAGGACAGATGTGTGGGCCAAGAGGACAGATGTGTGGGCCAAGAGGACAGATGTGTGGGCCACGAGAACAGATGGGTGGGTTGAGAGGACAGATGGGTGGGCCAAAGGACAGATGGGTGGGCCAAGAGGACAGATGTGGGCCAAGAGGACAGATGGGTGGGCCAAGAGGACAGATGGGTGGGCCAAGAGGACAGATGTGTGGGCCAAAAGGACAGATGTGTGGGCCAAGAGGACAGATGAGTGGGCCCACAGGACAGATGGGTGGGCCAAGAGGACAGATGAGTGGGCCCACAGGACAGATGTGTGGGCCCACATGACAGATGGGTGGGCAGACAATGTCAAAACCAAAGCTTCCCTGCAAACAGACATCTCCCAAACACAAAGACTGACAGATAATAAAGCCAGATCCCTTCCAGAAAGTTCCCACCGCAGGCTCCTCCCACCCAGCAGACACAACCAGTGATTTAATAAATGACTGCACTCTGACCTCCTCGTGGAAGATCCACATTGTGCCACAGATGATGATGATGGCAGACGACAGGGTGCTGACTATCAGGGACCGTGTGATGATGTTGTCGCTGACCCTGCGGGGCGGTTGCCTCAGCACGTCATGGTCTACTGGTTCCACACCAAGGCTGAAATCAATCATTACCATCATCATGTTCAATAAATATTTCCCTAGAATACAAAATTGTGTTCTGTCTCTATATGACAATCTTGTCTTATCTCTAGATTTCCATTCTCCTCTTCTGTTCAATCTCTCTGTTTTTCTCTTGTTTAACTCCCTACTGCTCTACACTGTGTGTATCTTCATTCTTTGACCCTCACCTTCTCTCTCTCTCTCTCTCTCTCCCTCTCTCTCTTCTTCCTTATACTCTGCAAGTGTGAATCTCTTTGTGCATGCATCCTCCACTGTCTGGTTTTTTCCCCTCTCTCCTTCATACAGGTTTTCTCTTATTTGTTTAAGTTTGTTTTCTACCTCTCCAATTCTTTCTCTCCGGTACCACTAGAATTGGAAGTCGCTGCTCTCTGCTCAAAATAGGGACGGAGCGCTTATGAGAGTGCTAGGATGTCAGATCTCAACTTACAACTCATTCTTTCTCTTTGTGCAGTGTAGACCTATCTTATCTCCCCTTCTCTCCCTCCCCTCCTCTGTATAAGATACGTATTTCACTCTTCACTATATCTGAAATGTACCATATGTGTATGTGAGCGTTTGTGTGTATGTCCCTTTCTGACTGCATGTATAAACAATTTTCATACATACGTCGTTTCACAGATGAACCGCCAGTTGGAACATGGGGACAAGTATGTAGAAACCAGCTGCTGGGGGAAAGAAAGAAGATCTGCCAATCAACCCCTACTGGGCACGCTCAGCATGGAGACAGTAAGACAGCTGCTACATCAGCATAGAGACAGTAAGACAGCTGCTACATCAGCATAGAGACAGTAAGACAGCTGCTACATCAGCATAGAGACAGTAAGACAGCTGCTACATCAGCATAGAGACAGTAAGACAGCTGCTACATCAGCATAGAGACAGTAAGACAGCTGCTACATCAGCATAGAGACAGTAAGACAGCTGCTACATCAGCATAGAGACAGTAAGACAGCTGCTACATCAGAAGACAGAGTATGAACTGGTTGGACTTACGAGCTTCTTTGTGTTCCCCGGCTTTAAACTCCAGAGAAAAGTTCTCAGAGTTCACCCATCTCTGGACTTTGGCCGTATTCCAGAACCAGAGTTGAAATATTGCACATACATTTTACAGATCTGGCTTATCTGCATGCAGATTCTTGGTTCCCTACCCTTTGCACTCTGACTCTGAAGGAAGTCCCCAATAATTTGACTCATACGACATGATTTTTTGGGAAGGCGGTTTGTCTATTCTTGTTTTCCCCATAACTGGGCCCTGGAACCCACACAAGGGATGCTAGGATGTCGGTATGTACAACAAGTAACAATTGTTGGTGATGTCTGGGGTAAATTACCTTTAACCAGGTGGATGGGACCATTATGCTTGGATTGAGCAGGTGGATGAGACTGATGTGTGGGGTAACTCACCTTTGAGCAGATGGATGAGACTGATGAGTGGGGTGACTCACCTTTGAGCAGGTGGATGAGACTGATGTGTGGGGTAACTCACCTTTGAGCAGGTTGATAAGACTAATGTGCTAGGATGTAACTAGTTTGATTGATGTGTGGGGTAACTCACCTTTGAGCAGGTGGATGAGACTGATGTGTAGGGTAACTCACCTTTGAGCAGGTGGATGAGACTGACGTGTAGGGTAACTCACCTTTGAGCAGGTGGATGAGACTGACATGTAGGGTAACTCACCTTTGAGCAGGTGGGCCATCCATGATGATGTTGATCCAGAGAATCTGCATGGCGTTGAGCGGGTTGGGCAGCCGCAGCAGCATAGCTATGGCAACCAGGGACAGAGCTGCAATGCTCCTGGAAGATCAACAGATAAACAGCAAATCTCAGAGATGCCATACTAATAAGAGTTCATTCATGCAACAATCTATATTTGTGGGAGTGCATGTGTGTGCGGCTGGCTTGGTGTGGCTCTCCGGCAACATGTGTATGCGTGTGTGCATGTGTGTATATGTGTGGGGTGTAAGCTGTCTGTGTGATTGGTGACCTCCACTACTGACCTTAAGCTGCAGCTCACACAGCAGGGGAATGGTCTCTGGATTCTGTCCCTAATCAGCATTTCTCACTCTCATATATACCCTCATAAGCATGCCCTAGGAAGCTACTAAAAAGCGCTGGCATGAGACTGGCCACCACACTCACAGAAACTGTAATTGTAAACTCCAACCTGTCATGGGTAAGCCTATAAAGTTTAAATGTCAACCTCACTCTATCAGGTTTTATCCCATAAGCCTCAGTCTCTCTCTGCAGACTAACAAGGTGCTTCGACAACTTCTGTATTTTCTCTTAAAATAGTTGTGGCACACTGGTGTGATTTACAGCTAGGCTGTTATATCTACACCTGTTAATCTAACAAAGGAGATTTCAGTACCAGAATCAGCAGAGCCTTTACAGAGGGTCTCACCATGATATTCCTCTCTTTCTCTACCCAATTCTACAGCCTATGTGCTTTTATAGCTAATACATCTTGAATGTCTTGCATCCATCCTTGTGGAGGTGTGGCTCTACATTGTTTCCCAGAAACTGTTTTCTCTCAACATTATTCTCTCTGTCTCTCTGTCTCTCTGTCTGATTTCAGCAAATCTCGAATTAGTCGCCTTTTATAATGTGCTTATTATGAAGCACTAGGTCTCTTCAATGCTCTTCTACACTAGTGTCCTGGAGCTCACATAGGCAGATCCTGGAACCCACACATGGAAGTCCTGTAACCCACACAGGGAGGTCCTTTTACCTACACAAACAGGTCCTGTAACCCACACAGACAGGTCTTGGAACCCACACAGGCAGGTCCTGGAACCCACACAGACAGGTCCTGTAACCCACACAGACAGGTCTTGGAACCCACACAGGCAGGTCCTGGAACCCACACAGGCAGGTCCTGGAACTCACACAGGCAGGTCCTGGAACCCACACACAGACAGGTCCTGGAACCCACACAGACAGGTCCTGGAACCCACACAAGCAGGTCCTGGAGCCCACACAGACAGGTCCTGGAACCCACCTAGACAGATCCTGGAACCCACACATCAGGTCCAGCAACAATCCCTAAGGATCACTGTAAAACTGCACTTGTCAAGGAATGAGGCAGCATGACCTCTACAGCACCAGAAAACAAGCACAACTATCTAGTGACATTTAGTGTGTTTTTGTTCAGAGAGAGGCTGAATACTGAGACTATCACAGCCTTAAAATGAGCTAGCAGTCGTGGGAGTCGGGCTGGCTAGAGGCTTTTCTCCTAACCCAAAGATCCATCTTCCCAGGGATTGGCTTATACAGCTGTCCTCTCCCTCTCCAAGACCAGATGTGGGTGAAGTGTGCAAGACCAGCACTGAAGCACATCTGCAAAGTGGGGTATTAGGATGTTCAAAGTCATAATTCATCACAGCCCGTCAGGACTCACTGAGGTTAGGTCTAGGGTTCTCATGTTTCTTTCACCGGAACGGTGGAGATTAGGCACAGGGGGTTGGTCATGTACACCCCAATAGACTGGCAGAGATTAGACCTATACTGGTCATGTACACCCCAATAGACTGGCAGAGATTAGACCTATACTGGTCATGTAACTTCCCCCCCCCCCCCTCCTCACAGACTGGCAGAGACTAGACCTATTACCCCCAAACCCAATTGCTCCAGGACTGTTAGTAAGTAAGTAATCAACAAAATGCAAAGCAAAGAACACAAAACAATACAGCAGGAAACTTACGTGCTCAGCTGAAATCTAACAAAGTTTTTAATGTTGAAGAAAATTCCTTTGCCTTCTTCAATGGCTGCCCTGTGAAAGAAAAACATGGCAGGGAGTTAAATGTACATACATGTATACACCTGGCTGCTAGACAATCATTCAGGTCAGATGATGGAACAGGCCTCTAGCGATGAGATGATGGAACAGGCCTCTAGCGATGAGATGATGGAACAGGCCTCTAGCGATGAGATGATGGAACAGGCCTCTAGCGATGAGATGACGGAACAGGCCTCTAGCGATGAGATGATGGAACAGGCCTCTAGCAATGAGACGATGGAACAGGCCTCTAGCGATGAGATGATGGAACAGGCCTCTAGCGATGAGATGACGGAACAGGCCTCTAGCAATGAGATGACGGAACAGGCCTCTAGCAATGAGATGACGGAACAGGCCTCTAGCGATGAGATGATGGAACAGGCCTCTAGCAATGAGATGACGGAACAGGCCTCTAGCAATGAGATGACGGAACAGGCCTCTAGCGATGAGATGATGGAACAGGCCTCTAGCAATGAGATGATGGAACAGGCCTCTAGCAATGAGATGATGGAACAGGCCTCTAGCAATGAGATGACGGAACAGGCCTCTAGCAATGAGATGACGGAACAGGCCTCTAGCGATGAGATGATGGAACAGGCCTCTAGCAATGAGACGATGGAACAGGCCTCTAGCGATGAGATGATGAAACAGGCCTCTAGCAATGAGATGACGGAACAGGCCTCTAGCAATGAGATGACGGAACAGGCCTCTAGCGATGAGATGATGGAACAGGCCTCTAGCGATGAGATGATGGAACAGGCCTCTAGCGATGAGATGATGGAACAGGCCTCTAGCAATGAGATGATGGAACAGGCCTCTAGCGATGAGATGATGGAACAGGCCTCTAGCGATGAGATGATGGAACAGGCCTCTAGCAATGAGATGATGGAACAGGCCTCTAGCAATGAGATGATGGAACAGGCCTCTAGCGATGAGATGATGGAACAGGCCTCTAGCAATGAGATGATGGAACAGGCCTCTAGCAATGAGATGGCTGCAAACATGCTCTTGATATAAACACAGACAAGCTGCGCTGACCCATGGGAGCGCCGTACTGAGAGGAAATAAGAATATACACACTGCCTGTCAACAAGCATGTCATAAAAGGAACATAATCTGATGTTTGCTGAAAATTGTAGATACTGTAGCCTAGCTGTAAACCACAACATTAACCTCCCATCGAAGTGTGAAAACAGAAGATGAAGAAGAAAGGACTAAATAAAATGCCCCCCATGACATTTATTAATCTCCTGTGTGAGTTCTGGGGCCCTTTGGGGGGAGGGGGGGGGGAACAGCCCACTGTCGCCCTTAAAAAGCATGTAAAAAAGAGTCAGAGTGCAACCACCTGAGAGGCAAGGAAACAACAGTCTGCATATAAATAAGTCAAATATGTAAAACAGATGTGCACACAAAACTTGTTCTGTAACAAGACCAAACACCACAAGTGGACAAACAGCCAGAAGTTTCCACTAGGGTTTACAGCTGGTGAATGCTAAGAAGAAGAAGTATCAACTGCAATCACAGAGAAGTCAGCTCAGATATTCACAACAACTAGGCTGATGATCAGCCAAGCAATATATATTGTGAATAAAAATAAAAATAAAAAAGAAAGAAAGAAACACATAGTTATCCAATGTAGCATTTTTAGTAGTTTGTAAATAAAATATCATACTCGGGTGTGTGATCAGCAGACTCAAATGTTGTTTACTGTGTCTAGTGGATATGTGGGTGTGAACTGCGTGAGTTTTTGTAATCGTTGCATTGCAATGGTCAATTGTGTTAAAGACCATATTTGTGAGCATAGCTCGCGCACGAGAGAGCAAAACAATTTGGGGTGGACACTATTCACAGGTCGCTACAAAACTGAAATCCTATAAAAGGATAACGCTACACCAAAACATTTAGTTCATTTTCAAGAAGTCACGAATAGCGCCTTTATCAATCAATTTAAGGAATATTGATATTGGCAAATTACATGCAGGAGAAAGTCAAAGTCAGATTGCCAGGCATCTAAACCTGCATCAGAGTACTATCAGTTGACTCTGGCACCAATTCCAAGTCACTGGTTCAGTTGAAGACCAACATTGCAGTGAACGACCCAGAGTGACAACAGCAGTGGACAATCGCTGTCTTCGGGTTTGTCACCTTAGAGACAGGTTTACAACAGCTTCCTCAACTGCGCAGGCATTGCCTCCAGGACGTCATGTGTTTGATCAAACTGTTCGGAACAGGCTGCATGACACTGGACTTTCAGCATAATGATCACACCAACAGTTTGTCCTTACATGTCGCCATCACCAAAACTGATTTCTTTGGGCCAACCAACATCGTCCCTGGCAGGCGACAATCAATGGAGACGTGTCTTGATTGTGCAACGATACATCAGTGAAATTCTTCGACCACAAGTTCTTTAATTTTGGGATGCCGACATATATCTTTTTCAACAGGACTATGCCAGTCTCCCTTCTATATGGTTGACCATGAAGTTCCTGGCTGCCAATAACATTCAAACCCTTCCCTGGCCATCCCTGTCTGTCTGCAGACATGTCAGATTGAGCACTTGTGGGATGAGCTGCAAAGATGTGTATGTCACCGAGATGTAGCTCCAGCTAATGATCGTGATCCATTCCAGGAAGAATTGGTAGCCATTCCACAAGCCCACATCAGACATCTCATTGCCCAGGAGATGCCAGTCATTGATCCAAACAAGAGTAGGCCACACCCCCTACTAAATGGAAAGGCCGTACACCTAAACAATTATCGTGATCCAGATGCAAGACAAATGTGTTAATTGACTGGTGACAACCCTAAGGTATTCTTGAGTGAAATTTGAGTAATTTCACTTATTTATTTCACTTATTGCATTACATTACAAAGATGCAGAATGTCACAACTGTGAATATGTATGTTCCTGTCAATAGATAATCGATTCTTTTTTGTGTGTGTGGATAGTAATTACTACAAACAAATTACTGTTAGATTTGTGTCCATGCTACTCACAAGCTGCAATGAAACAGAGACTTCTCACAAACAAAACAACAAATGCATGAGTTACTTACGAAAGAAATTAGCAATGAAAAAAAACAAATGTTTTTTCATGATACTGAAGACAAGAAGAGAATGGTTGAAATAATGTAACGAATGACGCTGACACTCACAGTATAGTACTGAGATCATCGTCCACTAGAATCATGTCTGCGGCCTCCTTGGAGACATCTGTCCCTGTCTTGCCCATGGAGATGCCAATATCTGCAGTCTTCAAGGCCACAGCATCATTGACCCCATCTCCAGTCATGCCCACCACATGTTTCAACAGCTGCAGCGCCTGCAACATTTACAGGCTACAGTTTCAACATCCATACATTGTTAGTGTCTAGAACTTGAGGTGGGCGTGGCTTGTACATCTAACACATTGTCAGTATCTAAAACCTGGAGTGGGCGAGGCTTGTACATCTAACATCTTGTCAGTGTTTAGAACTTGAGGTGGGCATGGCTTGTACATCTAACATCTTGTCAGTGTTTAGAACTTGAGGTGGGCATGGCTTGTACATCTAACATCTTGTCAGTGTTTAGAACTTGAGGTGGGTGTGGCTTGTACATCTAACATCTTGTCAGTGTTTAGAACTTGAGGTGGGCATGGCTTGTACATCTAACATCTTGTCAGTGTTTAGAACTTGAGGTGGGTGAGGCTTGTACATCTAACATCTTGTCAGTGTTTAGAACTTGGAGTGGGCAAGGCTTGTACATCTAACACATTGTCAGTATCTAAAACCTGGAGTGGGCATGGCTTGTACATCTAACATCTTGTCAGTGTTTAGAACTTGAGGTGGGTGTGGCTTGTACATCTAACATCTTGTCAGTGTTTAGAACTTGAGGTGGGTGTGGCTTGTACATCTAACATCTTGTCAGTGTTTAGAACTTGAGGTGGGTGTGGCTTGTACATCTAACATCTTGTCAGTGTTTAGAACTTGAGGTGGGTGTGGCTTGTACATCTAACATCTTGTCAGTGTTTAGAACTTGAGGTGGGTGTGGCTTGTACATCTAACATCTTGTCAGTGTTTAGAACTTGAGGTGGGCGTGGCTTGTACATCTAACACATTGTTAGTGTCTAGAACTTGGGGTGGGTGTGGCTTGTACATCTAACACATTGTCAGTGTCTAGAACTTGGGGTGGGTGTGGCTTGTACATCTAACACATTGTCAGTAGCCAGAGCTTGAAGTGGGTGTGGCTTGTACATCTAACACATTGTCAGTAGCCAGAACTTGAGGTGGGAGTGGCTTGTATACTGTCACTGTCTAAACTAAAATTTGAGATGGGAGGGGAGTTGGGAGTGGCTTGTACATTCACACATTTTAAAAAACAAATTTATGTTTCCTAAAAATATATAAAGATATAAAAAAAGAAGTAAACTATAAACATAAGCGGACTGAAGACACATTCCCCAAGGCCATAAAAAATATGTATTGAGTAACTCATGCTGTGACCCTGTGACCTCTAACACTGAGGCCTGTGAAAAATGATCATGTTGTATTTGTTTGCTTTTAAAAAGCTAAGCAGTTGGCAGGAAAACCCCCTAAACGCTATTTCTAGTCAATAAAGTTATATTCCAAACTATTAAATGCTGCACAGGTGCAAACACAACCAACAGCATTAACTAAATATTGTGTAAACATGCCAATGTAGACAAGCCAGAGAAGCTGCATTTTCAGGAAATTGGAGCCTACCAGAAATGCTGGTTTGTGACCTCTTCAGGCAAAAGGGTTCATTCAACACCTCTAATAATATGCTTGATAATGAGCAGTGGGTCTATGCCCCCCCCCCCTAAAATGGAGCCCTGGAACGCAGATGAGAAGGCCAGAAAACAAAGGTATCTTTCCATCATTGTGGGCACCAAGAGATTTCTTCTTCTTCTGTTATTTCTCCCTGCCAGTGGTTTCACTATAGGAAGTTTGTGGTGCAACTCACATTTTCCACTGATACATACAGCTTGGTTTCTAATGCCAACCGGCCAAACTTTGGACCTCACTACTGCATGCAGAAAGCATGTCTGAAGCACATATTTGATATTTTGTGCATGGGGGACATAGAGAACACATAAGTGAATGATATCCTGGCTAGAGAGTCGTGGGAAAGTGTAAACACCAAGCTTCAAGGAGGATTCCACAAAACAGCAGGTGTAACATGTGATCGACTCCCTGCAGACCGAGAATCCACTCAAGGAGGACTCCACAAGACTGCATGTGTAACCTGTGATCCACTCCCTGCAGACCAAGAAACCACTCAAGGAGGACTCCACAAGACAGCATGTGTAACATGTGATCGACTCAATGCAGACCGAGAATCCTCTTAAGGAGGACTCCACAAGACAGCATGTGGAACATGTGATCGACTTCCTGCAGACTAAGCATCCACTCAAGGAGGACTCCACAAGACAGCATGTGTAACATGTGATCGACTCCCTGCAGACTAAGCATCCACTCAAGGAGGACTCCACAAGACAGCATGTATAACACGTGATCGACTCCCTGCAGACTAAGAATCCATACACTGATAGACTCTCATTCTGTAAGGAGTGAGCAGGTCTGGAATACATTCAACACTGAAGGGGAAACAACAGGCAGACTTTTAGTCAGGTTGCAATGGTACTATTAGCATGTCAACTCTTCGTTGGCTACTGAAGAAGTGGATGGAGCACATGTGGGAATGTCCTAAGTGCAAGACAATTCCTGATTGACTGACTGATTCATTGACTCCCTGCTGTGAGACAAAGGCAGAGAGGAAGAAATTACCTTGACAATCTTCAGTTTGTGTCGGGGGGTTACCCTGTAGAAGATGCCAATGCCCTCTATGATTTTGGTCAGCTGGGAAATGTCCATAACTTCTAGTTCATCTCCTGACATGGTGCTGACACCTTCAGCATACAGCCCCAGCCTGGCCGCTAGTGACACAGACAGAAAGAGACAAGCAGAAGATGTGTTAACATATTGTGAAATTTTTCATATAGAAACACTGTGAGCCTGTAGGGAAATTTGTCAATGTATAGGGAACCAAGAATTTGTGGGAGAACAATGTATGTGTAGGAGAAATAAGCATGTGGGAGAACTGAATGTGTGGGAGAAATGTCAATGTCACAAAATTGTAAATGTGTAGAAGAAATGAGCGTGTAGGAGAAGTGAATGTGTGAAAGAAATGACAGTGTGTTACAGAATTGCAAATGGGTGGGAGAAATAAATGTATATCACAAAATTGTGATTGTGTGAAATGAGTGTGAAGGAGAATTGTGACCTTGTCAGAAAACTGTCCACCTAAGGGAGAGTCAGATAAACATAAGAACACTGAGAAATATGTGGGTAAACTGTCAGCAAGAGGAGAAAACAATAAACAGCAGGAGAAATGTGAACATGTCAGAGAAATGAAAATACAAAGCACATGTTACAAGACTTGAGGTTTTGCCAGAGAGAACTGAGAATCAAGAGACCACCTGATTCAGACTTGTCAGGACTACAACCATACAGTGTACCGCAGAAAGCCCTGACACTTGGTCATAATGGAAGCAGCACTAGAGGTTGACCACGTACGTGTTGGGTAGATAGAATATCTGAGGCCACAAACACCAGCTCTATGAAGTACACACCAAAGCTGAAACCTGAGGCCTCTTCCAAATCTGAAACTGATAGGCAGAACAAGACAACAACAACAACGCCGCTGCAGATGATAAAGAAGAAGAAGAGAAGGAGGAGAAGAAGAAAGAAGAAAAAGAAGAAGAAGAAGAAGAGGAGGAGAATAAGAAGAAGAAGAAAAAGAAGAAGAAGATAAAGAGAACTGAGATGCACCTTAACAGATGATGACTGAATAGAGTAGTCAACAACAAACATGCAGCACTCACCAACAGCCTTAGCTGTGTCCTCTCCATCTCCCGTGAGCATTTTGACTCCAACATTCATCATAGTCAGTGTCTGTATGGCAGCACGGACCCCATCCCGAGGTGGGTCCATGATACCCACCAACCCCACGTAGACCAGTGAGCTTGTATCTTTGCCATATGCCATACCCAGCACTGAAAGCAATATCAAACATGTCATTACATTCACATAGACACAAGATTTCCAGATGTCTCTCATTAAACTGAAAGTAGTATGAATTCACATGTCATTGCATTCACACAGAAACCAGAGGTAAGACCTATCACTGAAGCATCCACCAAGATGTCATTCATTGAAAGTAATATCCAGGCCACGCTTGCATCTGATCACAGTCTGCTCCACATGATATCTGTAGGACAGACTGCGATCAAACATCAAACCTAAGTATTTCAGCTTATCTCTTCTTATAACATTAATACCTTTCATGGATATGTTGGGCAAGTCTTCCTTGTCCTGCTAAAACAAGAGTGATGAAAACACTGAGAGAGAAAGAGAGGAAGGTAGGCAGACAATAGAAAGAATGAGGTGAGGGAGGAAACTGGTGTAGAAAAAATTAGATGAGAAAAAAGAAATTTATAGAAACAGAATGAGATAATGACATGAAACAATAAGATGATAACAGAAGAGAAGAAAAAGTAATTGAGACTGAAATATCATAGTGAAAAAATGGACAGAAAATTGAGAAATTAGGAGGAAAAGAAGAAAGAGAAATGGTAAAAGAATACAGATGAGAAGACAGAGTAAAGAAAATAATTAAGAAAGAGAAAATAAGAAACAGGGCAGAGAATCAGACAGACACAGAATGAAAGAGGACAGAAAATAAGTCAGACAGACACAGAATGAAAGAGGACAGAAAATAAGTCAGACAGACACAGAATGAAAGAGGACAGAGAATCAGTCAGACAGACACAGAATGAAAGAGGACAGAGAATCAGTCAGACAGACACAGAATGAAAGAGGACAGAGAATCAGTCAGACAGACACACAATGACAGTGGGCAGAGAATCAGTCAGACAGACACAAAATGAAAGAGGACAGAGAATCAGTCAGACAGACACACAATGACAGAGGACAGAGAATCAGTAGGACAGACACACAATGACAGAAAACACAGTGTACTGACCTCTCAGACCTGTCTGACCCAAGTAATGACCCTCTTCTAGATAGACCTCTTTCTGCTTGTTGTCCTTGAAGGGGACAGCCGCTCCATTGCTGTAATAATAAGTGCACTGGGCCAACACCCGCTCCAGAGCTCCTTTAAGGAAGTAGACACTGTGGTCCTGCACACACCAACACATGTTTTACTGTATGTGGCCAGGTCATCAGTCATGGCTAACATGTTTTACTGTATGTGGCCAGGTCATCAGTCATGGCTAACATGTTTTACTGTATGTGGCCAGGTCATCAGTCATGGCTAACATGTTTTACTGTATGTGGCCAGGTCATCAGTCATGGCTAACATGTTTTACTGTATGTGGCCAGGTCATCAGTCATGGCTAACATGTTTTACCATACATTGGCCAGGTCATCAGTCACGGCTAACATGTTTTACTGTATGTGACCAGGTCATCAGTCATGGCTAACATGTTTTACCATACATTGGCCAGGTCATCAGTCATGGCTAACATGTTTTACTGTATGTGGCCAGGTCATCAGTCATGGCTAACATGTTTTACTGTATGTGGCCAGGTTATCAGTCATGGCAAACATGTTTTACTGTATGTGGCCAGGTCATCAGTCATGGCTAACATGTTTTACTGTATGTGACCAGGTCATCAGTGATGACTAACATGTTTTACTGTATGTGGCCAGGTTATCAGTCATGGCTAACATGTTTTACCATACGTGGCCAGGTCATCAGTCATGGCTAACATGTTTTACTGTATGTGACCAGGTCATCAGTCATGGCTAACATGTTTTACCATATGTGGCCAGGTCATCAGTCATGGCTAACATGTTTTACTGTATGTGACCAGGTCATCAGTCATGACTAACATGTTTTACTGTATGTGACCAGGTCATCAGTCATGGCTAACATGTTTTACCATACGTGGCCAGGTTATCAGTCATGGCTAACATGTTTTACTGTATGTGACCAGGTCATCAGTCATGGCTAACATGTTTTACCATACGTGGCCAGGTCATCAGTCATGGCTAACATGTTTTACTGTATGTGACCAGGTCATCAGTCATGGCTAAAATGTTTTACCACACGTGGCCAGGTCATCAGTCATGGCTAACATGTTTTACTGTATGTGACCAGGTCATCAGTCATGGCTAACATGTTTTACTGAATGTGACCAGGTCATCAGTCATGGCTAACATGTTTTACCATACCTGGCCAGGTCATCAGTCATGGCTAACATGTTTTACTGTATGTGACCAGGTCATCAGTCATGGCTAACATGTTTTACTGTATGTGACCAGGTCATCAGTCATGGCTAACATGTTTTACTGTATGTGACCAGGTCATCAGTCATGGCTAACATGTTTTACTGTATGTGGCCAGGTCATCAGTCATGGCTAACATGTGAGCAATGTTAAGCATTATGGAGAACAAAAGTCCCACCTAACATGGATAACTAATGTGTCATGTGACATGGATAACAAAAGTCCCACCTAACATGGATAACTAATGTGTGACATATTCATGGCATTGTGGTGCTGGGGTGTCTGTGGATTACCTACCTCCCCGGGCAGCAGCTAGAAATGCCCTGTACCAGTTCTAAAGGAAATATGGGTTGTGTTTCTGCCTTTCCCTTTAACACGTAGCTAAGGTGGGGCTCACAGTGTGCTCATTCCCCGCCACCAGATTGCCTGCAGGTTTCGCTGAGCTCTTCATGTCTCTAAGCATGGCCTAAACATGAGTAGTTGGGGCAACTGGATCGTCACGTCCTGAGTCCCTGTGCCTTAACCAGCATTAACCATCTAACAAGAAGGGACCAGGCCACCATCTTCAGACTTAGAACGCAACATACTCCACTCAATGGACACCTAAACAGAATACAGCCACAACACTCCCCAGAGTGCCAGCTATGTAACTACCCCTACGAAACTGTTGAACACCATCTCTTTGAGTGCCCAAAACTCAGTGAGACAAGAAGAACGCTACTCCCTCCGAGACCAGACAAGTGGAACACCTTGTACGGAGGAAAAGAACAGCTTGTGAAAACATGCAAATTCCACTACATGGCATTGGGCCAAAGGGCGAAAGCTCATGCGCCGCTGGATCGATAACAACAACAACAACAACAACAATAACTAATGTGTCATGTGACATGGATAACAAAAGTCCCACCTAACATGGATAACTAATGTGTCATGTGACATGGATAATAAAAGTCCTACCTAACATGGATAACTAATGTGTCATATGACATGGATAACAAAAGTCCCACCTAACATGGATAACTAATGTGTCATGTGACATGGATAACAAAAGTCCCACTTAACATGGATAACTAATGTGTCATGTGACATGGATAACAAAAGTCCCACCTAACATGGATAATTAATCTGTCATGTGACAAGGCTAACAAAAATCCCACCTAACATGGATAACTAGCATACCACTGAAGACAGACAAAAGACTCACCTCATCCACCTCTGGATGACATTTGACCATCATGGTTTTTGTTTCGCTAGAGAACGGCCACTCTTCAGCTCTCACATATAAACGTCTCATATCTGGAAGATTTAGCTGAAAACAAGACACGGACACCTTCAGACTGGACGTCAGTCAAGTCAGGTCAAGTCAAGGAACCATTTCAAACCAGTGGCACATCAAGTATATAATGCTAGACTCAGATGTGTTTGGATCAGTCGGCTTTCAGTGGGTCACACCGGCGACCTTTACTTTTTAGGACATTACCTGGAACCCATTTTAGGCTGGGTCGACCTGTGAGCAAATGTCATTTTAATTTCTTTTAACCCATCTGGTGTCAATCTGAACCACAAACATTCGGGTTGGTAGGCGAGCATCTGGTTGCTAAGCCACTACTGAAGGTCTTTTCAACAGTCAAGGAAATGGCAAGATGGATATACAATCAGAGAGTTACAGGTACCATTGGGATTTTCAGTTTCAGATATGACAGACAACAAGGGATAATACAACTAGACATTCATAGATCAAGATATTACTTCTTTCTGTCTTCATCTGTCACTCTTGCCTCATATCTGTCACATAAGGCTAGCTTTCCTAACCCACCTGTTTTTTTTTTTACACTAAAATTAACTTTTTGTTTATCCTCTAGCACACACTAATTCAAGTAGCGTCCGTGGCTTTGGTATTGCGAGTCCGACTCATAATCCCAGCGTACTGTGATCGAAACCCAATGCTGGCTGCCATGGTATGGGACGTCACATGTCGACCCAGCCTAAAATGGGTACCAGGATGGCTGTCCTGGGAAAGTAAAGACGGCCGGCGTAATGCTGACCACATTACCCACCCAGTGCCGATTGGTCTGTAAAAATATGGGATGCTCTTCCCATATGCTCGATGCGCCTAAGGTGTGAAAAGGAATCTTTTCTTACCTTTACTTTTACACACTAATTCAATGTAAAATTGAAGGACAGAGATAAAGAAGTGCAGAAGAATGAGATAAGGCACATTTAGATGCAGATATGACAGGAGCTGACAAATAAGACTAAATAACACGACAGAGGGTCTTGTTACCATGCTGGTCAACACAACACAGCACAGAAACATGACAGAGGGTCTTGTTACCATGCTGGTCAACACAACACAACACAGAAACATGACAGAGGGTCTTGTTACCATGCTGGTCAACACAACACAACACAGAAACATGACAGAGGGTCCTGTTACCATGCTGGTCAACACAACACAGAAACAAGAGATCCACTGACCTTCATGGCAGCTCCCAGCAATGCTCCCTCTGTAGGTGAGCCCAGCAATGTATTGTGGTGGATTTCTGCATTGTTGCACACACAACCAACCTGGCAGAAAATAGTACAAAACAATAGATAAACATATACTGAGTGCACTCACAGAAAGAAGTAGACATGAGAGAATACTAAACAACATATCAATAAAAAGCTACAGTAACCATATTATAACTTAAACCAGTCACCTCCAAGTGAAAATGATGCCACACTTTAGAAACAAGTTTACGACCAACTCAACTTCCCTAAAAAGGTATCACCATTAGCCAGATCTATCAAATACCAGAATCAACAACTGCAGAATATGACCAGTATTCAGACAAGAATGATACAGATTTTGATGTGGATTCATAGAAACAGGATGCCATGGCACCTATATTGAACTGCAAGTATGTGATTTTGAACAGAAAAAAAAGTACTGTTCAACACAATTTTCTTACCAATGCTGTTCTATCAGTGTCAAACAAGGACACTAACTTCAGAAGGCAGAAGAAAAAAAGTCATGACAGAAATGAAATGTTTACTTATTATGCTAGGTGTTACGAACAAAGATCAACTTAGGAAGGATGATATCAGGAGGAGAATCAGCACAGAACCAATTCTGGACTTTATTGGTAATTAACAGATCAAATGGTTTGGCCATGTAACAAGATTAGCATGAGACAAGGCACCACAGAGAGCAATGTTATACAGATACATAAGTAACAGAGTCAGAGGTCAACAACACAGAAGATGAACTGCAGAAATATCGGAGACACTGAAAAGTATTACATACGAGGCGAACAAAAGGGCTTGTTCCAAAGACCTCTTCATGTCCTGATACTGCGAGGCATTCCAGGAGTAGAGAAAAAAAAAATAAGAATAAAGATGCCTCCGACAGTACTTTACAGGGAGGAAAGGAGGGAGGGGGAATCAGGAATGGAGGATGGTTAAAGTGAAAAATGACTGACTGCAAATAGGTTAAAAGTTGTGGGTCTGAGAAATACGTTGAAAATGTATTATGGTGACAATGGTGCTGGAATGGGGAACTCAATCTGTGAAAGACTGTTGCAACGCAAGCCGGATCTTGCAAGTCACACTTGCCATCACCATCAGCTGTTAGTCCCAGACCACATTGTAGCACAGTATAAAAACACTATCATCTGGAAATACCAAAAGTATCAAAAAATGCATTCAACAACTGAAATAGCATAATATATTACAGAACTGTATATGTAAGTCAACCCAGGTCAACTGATAAACATACAAATACATAAAACCGTCATGCTGTGTCTGATATACAACAAACATTAAAGGTGAGAGGTGAAAACAAGCATTCTCTATAGATACAGCTCTATATGGAGTCACAGCAGCAACTGGCTAGTCATGACAGAAAACTGTCTAGCACACATAACTCCTGACCTGCTCGTGATGTTTTTCAGTCAATTCACAGCATTTTTTTTTTTACTGACCTGAGAATTTTCTTGAAAGTGATGGTGACCCTTATATATGAGCATATTAGCAACTGAGTGCTGACTGATTCACTGCAAATGTATGGGACCAGCCCCATGTGCCCAAAACCTCAGCGACACAAACAAGGATCTGTAATGCATTCCTGCAGCCCCATATACACTAGCCGAAACACACAAACAAGGATCTAAGATGTATTCCTACAGCCACATATACACTAGCCGACACACACAAACAAGGATCTGTGATGTTTTCCTGCAGCCCCATATACACTAGCAGACACACACAAACAAGGATCTAAGATGTATTCCTACAGCCCCATATACACTAGCCGACACACACAAACAAGGATCTGTGATGTTTTCCTGCAGCCACATATACACTAGCCGACACACACAAACAAGGATCTGTGATGTATTCCTGCAGCCCCATATACACTAGCAGACACACACAAACATGGATCTGTGATGTATTCCTGCAGCCACATATACACTAGCCGACACACACAAACATGGATCTGTGATGTATTCCTGCAGCCACATATACACTAGCCGACACACACAAACATGGATCTGTGATGTATTCCTGCAGCCCCATATACACTAGCAGACACACACAAACAAGGATCTGTGATGTATTCCTGCAGCCACATATACACTAGCCGACACACACAAACAAGGATCTGTGATGTTTTCCTGCAGCCCCATATACACTAGCAGACACACACAAACAAGGATCTAAGATGTATTCCTACAGCCCCATATACACTAGCCGACACACACAAACAAGGATCTGTGATGTTTTTCTGCAGCCCCATATACACTAGCAGACACACACAAACAAGGATCTGTGATGTATTCCTGCAGCCACATATACACTAGCCGACACACACAAACATGGATCTGTGATGTATTCCTGCAGCCCCATATACACTAGCCGACACACACAAAGAGGCTCCATGACTGGTAGAGCAGCAAGTACTGGTGGTGCTTCACTAGCAAACATGCCTGGGTTCATTCTCCAGCTGAGATGCTTCCCAACTAGGTACAGCTGAGACAGATGCTTCCCAAATAGGTACAGCTGAGACAGATGCTTCCCAAATAGGTACAGCTGAGACAGATGCTTCCCAAATAGGTACAGCTGAGACAGATGCTTCCCAAATAGGTACAGCTGAGACAGATGCTTCCCAAATAGGTACAGCTGAGACAGATGCTTCCCAAATAAATACAGCTGAGATGCTTCCCAACTAGTTACAGCGTGAGGTTTCGGCTAGGCAAGACAAGTAGTCAGGAAGGGAGCGTGGTCACCTGGCGTACATGCAGGTCTGTCGCGCAAACCCCCCCCCCCCCCCCCCCCCCCCCCCCCCCCCCCCAAATAAGTTTAACTTTATCTTAATGAAAGAAATAACGTGTCTGTTTACAACCACACTTCACAATCACACAAACATGAATGTTGACACAGACATGGATGGTGACACAGACATGGATGGTGACACAGACATGGATGGTGACAGGCATGGATGGTGACACAGACATGGATGGTGACACAGACATGGATGGTGACACAGACATGGATGTTGACACAGACATGGATGTTGACACAGACATGGATGTTGACACAGACATGAATGTTGACACAGACATGGATGTTGACACAGACATGAATGTTGACACAGACATGGATGGTGACACAGACATGGATGCTGGCACAGATAGGGATGCTGACACAAATACTTTACAATTACTCAAGGATGTTGACCAAATTACAATAACATATAGACTCACTTCAATGACCTTGCGAAATGATTTCATAGACTCCTCAGGGTCAACGAGAGCGTGGGTGTGTATAATCCTCACCTCCCCGGGGCTGCTGTAACCCACTCCGGTCAGCTATAACAACAACAATAAAACAATCTACAGCCAGTAAGATTCCTTCATATTACTAATAAGTGTATTACACTATAATAATTCACCACAAGAAGTCAAGAAAAGGAAGCACTGCACCTCGTGTGGGTTACAGGATCCCATTGTGGGAGGGGCTGGGGGGATAGACCCACTGACCCCTAACAAGCATGTTTTAAAAAAAAAACAAGCAACTATTAGGAGCAATATAGCTGTAAAACCACAACACAACCTACCAACCACCTTGTCAAGAGCAAATACAATAGAAGAAGTTACACTGTGCAATAACAGGTCAGAGATTACTAAAGGTGATGCTAGGCTTGGGGCGGACTACTTCAGTCAATAACACAATAAAGGCAATCAACAGAACCAACCATGATCAAGTAGAATAAAATAACAAAAGTTTACTTGCCAGCCAAGTTAAGAGGGCGCTCTTCTCCTAGCAGAGAAAGCTAAGAGGTGCCCAGTTCCCAGGTATACCTACTGTCACCTATGAATAATTAGAACTATGTATCACGTGGGAAGGGTCAGCAAAGGTGGGACACAAAGGAATCACTGCAGGATGAAATGAGGAGGGTGTGGAATGTGATGCACGCACTAGCGAAGAACAGAATTTGATAAGAACTGCTTAGGCCCACGTTCCAATGGAGGATAACGGGCAGATAAGAAGAAAAATATTATGAATACTATTTCTTTCTTTCTGTGTTGCTCTAGGAAACAGGTGAATTTCCCAAGCTAAACATAACAGCTGGAAAAGCCCTATCATAAGAGAATAATGACAGCATGCCTGTCAGTTGCATGACACTGAGTTTCTCCCTGCACTGTTTATGGGAGAAGACTGACACACGTATATAAATCTCTAAGTACAATAAAACTGATCTTCAAATCCGCATCCAATCAGATTTGTTCAAACATGACTGTGTCTGCTAGGTCAACCCGGCCTTAAATGGGTACCAGGCAGATCCTTGGAAATGCTGAACAAATCACCATCCAAGTGCTGATTAGTCTATCAAATATAAGTCTAGAGAGAAGACAATGATGACGTGAATACCTCAGCCCTGTGGTGGTCAGAAGTGAAGATAACAGAGAAGAGAGAAGATAATGATGACGTGAATACCTCAGCCCTGTGGTGGTCAGAAGTGAAGATGTGTGTGACTGTCATCTCATTCTTGGTCAGGGTTCCAGTTTTATCACAGCAGATAACATCCACACAGCCTGTGAGAATATAGCAGATCACAGAACATCATATTCACATACCATGTATCACTCACATACCATGTACGACTCACACGCATCACATACCACTCACACGCATCACGTACCACCAACATCATGTACTACCCATACCCACCATGTAATACCTACAGACATCCTGTAACATCCACAGACCATGTACCTTCCACACACACTATGTAACACCCACACATTATGTAACACCTACACACCATGCAACACCCACACATATCCTGTAACATCCACAGACCATGTACCTTCCACACACACTATGTAACACCCACACATTATGTAACACCTACACACACACACCATGTAACACCCACACACATCCTGTAACTTCCACACACCATGTACCTTCCACACACACTATGTAACATCCACAAACCATGTACCTTCCACACACACCATGTAACCCCCACACACATGCTGTAACATCCATACACCATGTACCTTCCACACACACTATGTAACACCCACACACACACACCATGTAACACCCACACATATCCTGTAACATCCACACACCATGTACCTTCCACACACACTATGTAACACCCACACACACCATGTAACACCCACACACACTATGTAACACCCACACACACCATATAACACCCACACACACTATGTAACACCCACACACACTATGTAACACCCACACATATCCTGTAACATCCATACACCATGTACCTTCCACACACACTATGTAACACCCACACACACTATGTAACACCCACACACATACCATGTAACACCCACACACACCATGTAACACCCAAACACACCATGTAACACCCACACACTATGTAACACCCACACACATCATGTAACACCCACACACCATGTACCTTCCACACACACTATGTAACACCCACACACACCATGTAACACCCACACACACCATGTAACACCCACACATACTATGTAACACCCACACACACCATGTAACACCCACACACACTATGTAACACCCACACACACTATGTAACACCCACACACACCATGTAACACTCATACACACCATGTAACACCCACACACACCATGTAACACCCACACACACCATGTAACACCCACACACACCATGAAACACCCACATACACTATGTAACACCCACACACTATGTAACACCCACACACACTATGTAACACCCACAAACACTATGTAACACCCACACACACCATGTAACACCCACACACACCATGTAACACCCACCATGTAACACCCACCATGTAACACCCACACACACTATGTAACACCCACACACACTATGTAACATTCACACACACTATGTAACACCCACACACACTATGTAACACCCACACACACTATGTAACACCCACACACACCATGTAACACCCACACACACCATGTAACACCCACACACACCATGTAACACCCACACACACCATGTAACACCCACACACACCATGTAACACCCACACACACCATGTAACACCCACACACACTATGTAACACCCACACACACACCATGTAACACCCACACACACTATGTAACACCCACACACACCATGTAACACTCACACACACTATGTAACACCCACCATGTAACACCCACACACACCATGTAATACCCACACACACCCTGTAACACCCACACATATCCTGTAACATCCACACACCATGTACCTTCCACACACACTATGTAACACCCACACACACCATGTAACACCCACACACCATGTAACACCCACACACACTATGTAACACCCACACACATCATGTAACACCCACACACATCATGTAACATCCACACACACCATGTAACACCCACACACACTATGTAACACCCACACACACCATGTAACACCCACACACACTATCTAACACCCACACACACTATGTAACACCCACACACACTATGTAACACCCACACACACTATGTAACACCCACACACACCATGTGACACCCACACACACAATGTAACACCCACACACACTATGTAACACCCACACACACTATGTAACACCCACACACACCATGTAACACCCACACACACTATGTAACACCCACACACACTATGTAACACCCACACACACCATGTAACACCCACACATATCCTGTAACATCCATACACCATGTACCTTCCACACACACTATGTAACACCCACACACACTATGTAACACCCACACACATACCATGTAACACCCACACACACCATGTAACACCCACACACAGCATGTAACACCCACACACACACCATGTAACACCCACACACATACCATGTAACACCCACACACACACCATGTAACACCCACACACACCATGTAACACCCACACACACCATGTAACACCCACACACACCATGTAACACCCACACCCACACCATGTAACACCCACACACACCATGTAACACCCACACACATACCATGTAACACCCACACACACCATGTAACACCCACACACACCATGTAACACCCACACACATACCATGTAACACCCACACACACCATGTAACACCCACACACACCATGTAACACCCACACACACCATGTAACACCCACACACACTATGTAACATCCACACACTATGTAACACACACACACCATGTAACACCCACACACACCATGTAACACCCACACACACTATGTAACATCCACACACTATGTAACACCCACACACTATGTAACACACACATACCATGTAACACCCACACACATCCTGTAACATCCACACACCATGTACCTTCCACACACACCATGTAACATCCACACACACCATGTAACACCCCCACACCATGTAAAACCCACCCTACACTCACCCATGCATGCACACGCACGAATGCATGTACACTCACACACACCCCATGTAACACACACACACACTGTAAGACACTCACAACTTACCTAGTGTCTCAACAATGGGAAGTTTTTTAATGATGGCCTTCCTCTTGGCCATGCGCATGACCCCGATGGCTAAGGTCACCGTCACTACAATAGGCAAGCCTTCTGGGATAGCTGCCACGGCCAAACTGCAGGTTTTAGATCAACAATGAATGTTAGAAGACATGTGGCCAAAACAACATTATATTAACAGAGATTAAAATTTCATAAAAATAGCTGAACTGTCTGACATTAGAGTTCACAATGTCTGGCATGAATGTTCATATTATCTGACCTAAACGTTGTCAGACACGAATGTTGATTGACATGAATGTTTATATTATCTGACCTGAATGTTGTCTGATGTGACTGTTGTCTGACATGTTTGTTGTCTGACATGACTGTTGCCTGACATAACTGTTGTCTGTTATGTTTGTTGTCTGATATAACTGTTGCCTGACATGACTGTTGTCTGACATATTTGTTGTCTGACATGAATGTTGTCACCATAGCTGTTGTCTGACATGTTTGTTGTCTGTCATGAATGTTGTCTGACATAACTGTTGTCTGACAAGTTTGTTGCCTGACATAACTGTTGTCTGACATGACTATTATCTGATATGACTGTGGATATGCTTGTTTTCTGACATAACTGTCGTGTGACATGTTTTTTGTCTGACATGACTGATGTCTGACATGTTTGTTGTCTGACATATCTGTTGTCTGAGATGTTTTTTGTCTCACATATTGGTTGTCTGACATATTGGTTGTCTGACATATTGGTTGTCTGACATACTGGTTGTCTGACATATTGGTTGTCTGACATATTGGTTGTCTGACATATTGGTTGTCTGACATATTTGTTGTCTGACATGTTTGTTGTCTGAAATGTTTGTTGCCTGACATAACTGTTGTCTCATATGACTGTTGTCTGATATAACTGTTGTCTGATATAACTGTTGTCTGACATAACTGTTGTCTCATATGACTGTTGTCTGATATAACTGTTGTCTGACATAACTGTTTTCTGACATGAATGTCATCTGATATGACTGTTGCTTGACTTAACTGTTGTCTGACATGTTTGTTGTCTGATGTGACATAACCTATCCAACAAAGGAAAGTCACCTGCTCAGCAACAAAGTGCCCATTAACTTTTGGACAAGACAACTGCTAATTCAAAAGTTTTGGGTTAGAATCTGCATCAAGTCTAGAATGAGTACCAGGAAATGTACCAGAAAGTCAAGGCAGCTGGCATGATAGTGACCACATCACCTATAAAGTGCCAACTGGCCTGTAAAGATATAATATGGCACCATATGCCTGGTATGCTGGTAGTGTGGAAAAAAAAAGACATTTTATTTTTAAAAACTAAATAATTTATTATCTTTGCACCCAGAACATGGCATGACTGACTCAACAGCCTTACATATACAACAGGAAAGACAGTTTCTGCAGAACTGTGTACCTGTGCACTAGCACAGCAAACTGTAGAACACACTAAATAAAGCTCTGAAAGCTTAACAAGGCAGAATGAAATAATCAGAGATCAGAAATTAAATGACAAATAATAACAAAAAAGAAAGGGGAAACAGATTCTCAGAAATTGCATGCCTTAACCTTGAAATGAATCCAGTGAGCTGTGACTGAAAGCATGATGAAATGGGGAAGCACAGAATACACAAACTGATGTTTCAGCCAGGGCCTTTCTCTGCATGAACTAACTACACAACCATAACAAAGGGGAGAGTGACCATGTCTTAACCATACACAGTTGAACAATGATTAATGTAGTCAAAGTAATGACAGGAAGGTAGGCAGAGACTAAAAGATAGTAAATGAAAGAGAGAAAATTAGAGAGAGAGAAACAACAAAATGGTCTACCTGACACCGATGGTAAACATGTCCAGGATTTTTCTGCCCTGTATCCAGCCAACGATGACAATGATGCCGATGACCAGAAATGAGTAGAAGGAGAGTTGCTTGCCCAGTGTGTCCATGCTCTTCTGTAGCGGAGTCTTGGGGGCCTATACACAGGGACAAAATGAACCAATCAACATCAATGGCAATATAACTAACTAATAATCATCTAACACGGAGATAAATAACACACACAGAACCAACCAATAAATATCTAATATGAATAGAACCAACCAATGAAAATCCAACACAGACAGAACCGAGCCAATCAATGAACATTCAAGACAGACAGAACCAACCAATGAACATCCAAGATAGAGAGAACCAACCAATGAACATTCAGCACAGACAGAACTAATGGACATCTAAAGAAGATGGAACCAACCAATACACATCGGTGACACACATAGTTTTATAGATGAGAAAACTTGGAGAATAATTAATTATCTATGGATGACTCTTTCATTTATACTTTATAAATGAATGTTCTTTCCTTTAGTAAATGAACATCTACCTATACTTTTTAAATGAATTTTCTATCTAACTTCAGTAACTGAATATTCTTTGCCTCAGTACATGAATATCTAATTATACTTAGTAAATTCATTCCTATCTCAATTCAGTAAATGAATGGTCTTTCTATTTTAAATTAATGTTCTATCTTACTTTAGCAAATGAATGTTCTATAACTGTAACAAATTAATATTCTATCTTCTTCTTTCTTTTGTCAATATCTTCTTATGCAGCTAGGTATCGCAGTTCATCAGATGATCGGCAGCCGAACCAGGGCGCGCCTAGTCGCTTGATATGCTGTGATGTTATGCAGTCTTAAGGTGACAGTGACCCCTTTAATCCATCTTCTTCTCGGACTTTCCCTGCCTCTTGGTGTTTCGATTTTCAGGTTATACGCTCTTGCTGCTGGCATCATTGGTTTCATTCTCTATTAGATGACCAAACCATTCTTTGTTTCTCAATAAATTTGACAATGGGTGTTGTTCTAACAGTTCTTGTGATCACGTCGCTTCTCACTTCTCTTCTGGTTTTAATTACAGCCATTCCATCTAACATTAGTAAATAAATGTTCTTTCTACTTTAATTAGGTGCATTATATATACACTGAAAAATCATAAATCCCCTGCCAGCTGGGTTTAGACTGATACAGGTCATTATCCATGTCATACAATAAGGATGTGTTAAGGCCTTAACTGGCCTTCAAACCCGTGATCGAAATCACCATATTTTAACCAGATGTTATGAAGAAACTGTGTCTACATTTAGATCATGAATCACCTGATGCTCTACCCACAAATGATCAATTTACAAATGATGCGTCTATAAATGATTCACCTATAAATGATAAATCTACAAATGATCTAGCTGTTACCTCTTCTGCCTGCATCATTTTGAAGATTTCTCCAAACTCAGAGTCATGCCCTGTACCAATAACAATGCCCTGAAAGTGTACAAAAGCAGTGATGGAATAGCAAATTTAAAAAAACAAAACAAAACAAACCACCAGGCATGCAAACACACGCGCGCATAATATTCATACATCATGTAACATCTATACATCATGCAACATCTATATACCATGTAACAACCACATATGTAATATCCACATATATAATTTCCACATACGTAATATCCACACAATTTTTAAATTCACACACGATGTGATATCAAACAACATGTAATATTAACACACCAATTAATATCCAAACTCTATTTAACATCCAAAAGAGCAGACAATTTTAAAAATGAGTAATGTGTGAAAATAAACTACAAGACATCAAGAACAAGAAAGAATGACTTAACAATTGTACTGGAATAAAAGACTAAAGGAAAGATATTAAAATGCAACTGGCCAACATACTGACTACAGAGCTCAGGCATTTAGCCCCAATGGAGGATAAAAGCATAAGACGACCTGATAATAATGACATCCAGTCACAAAGAATCCACAGAGAGACATTCCCTTTTTTCTATTTCCAGTCACATCAGCTAACACAGTCAGACAGACATCTCACATTGCCCATGTGGGATCCCGACTCCCATTTAGAGGGAGTTAAACTTAAAAAAAAAAAAATTTCCACCAACCCCTAAAGATAATTAGTTGCATTTCCTTTAGAGATCGTTGAAATGCTTATTGTATTGTTCCAAATGATATAAATTCTTAATTCCACATTCAACAACATTCAACCAATGCAAGGTGGTCACCAAATGGCCTGCAGATGAGAAGCGCTCGCACAATGGCTAATCTACGGATGTCCACTAACAAGCATGTAATCAAAGGCAACTAATTTTAGTTTCCTGAAATCGGATGTGTTGGGCAAAAGTGCAGAGATCGCAGTCCAGCTGTCTACCACAACACATCAACTGCCTATTGAAGGAGGAATGCAGAAGAAGACAGCTTACCTTTCCATGTCCAGTGCGCACCAGAGTGCCCATGAAGGCAATATTCTTGCGACCACTGAGGTTGGACACCAGCTGAGCTGGCTGCACATCTTTAGTCTTGTTCACAGGTTCAATCTCTCCTGTGAAGCTAGACTCGTCTATGCTCAAGCCAGTTGCCTGGTTTGGTGACACAGAAAACATTATAGATAATAAACACACTCAAACGTATACAAATAATGACATTACAATAAAGCCCTCAAACAAAAACATTGTACACAAATTCACAAAAGCACACACAAAAATGCACACAAATATATAGAAAGGATTTACTTACTTGCTTCATTTGCTTAATATTTACAGTAGTATGCACCTGGAAGATACTGGGAAATATGCCAGGCAATAAATTGTGCAATCTATTGTTGGTGTCTTCTAGTTTAAATCTGTTGCAGATTTTTGTAGATGTAAATGTCTAGGACACAGGTTGTTTTTGTTTTAATGCACACAAAAACTTGGGTCAACATTTTGTTGCAGATACACAAACCTAGGATAAACATTTGTATGTTCTTCTGACATTAGGCAACTGACTGTCTTCATTATAAACATGGTGGACGGCTGGAAGTCCAGATCTGATCATCTACAGAATCTTCTTCCTCTTCTTCTTAGTGTTCATCAGCTGTAAACTCTGGTGGAAAGTTTTGATTGTTCGTCACTTTTTGGGGAGGTTTTGTTTCCCAACTTGAGTTCTGCATGCTCATTTGTTTCACTGAAATGGCTTATTTGTATGCAGACTGTTGCTTCCTTGCCTCTTCTTATGCAGATGCACTCTAACTATGAAGGAAACACCCCTAATTAGTAGCCTTTTATGACATGCTTTTAGGGGTGGGGGCAGTGGGTGTATCACCTCCCCCTCTCCCAAATGGGGCCCCGGAACCCACATTGGGAATCAAGGAAGTTAGCACACAGTGCCTCAACTGTGGCTACCACCTACCTCAAACAAGCGGATGTCTGCAGGAACTCTGTCCCCTATGCTGATGTGAATGATATCTCCAGGCACCAGGTCTTGGGCTAGGAAGGTCATTAGCTCTCCATCTCTGATACTGAGGAAACAGAAGAAGGTGTACTGTTGTCAGTAAAAAAAAAAAAACCAAACCAGTATCATTAATAAAGAAAGCTGCAACAGCATAGTGGTTAGACTCCTGCGTGCCTGCCTACCCAAAAGGGTTGGGTTTGAACCTTACTGAGTCTGATTTTCTTCAGTTTAGGTGGACCTTAGCTCTGAGGACAGCCAGCCCAGTTAGTTAGTTAGTTAGTTAGTTAGACAACAAATTATCCTCACTGCATTTCCAACCATTTAATCCATACATGTTCCGATCCCCTCCTCAGTAAATCCCATGTGTAGTGGCTGATGACACATCAGTCCTGTGTTGGTTTCTAATTTTTTTTGGCTTCCTGCGTAGTGCTCTTGTCTGGTCACAACCCTTTTAACACCAGAACTTCCTTAGTCAACAGATTTTCCTCACTGCACTTGCAACCGTTCAATCCATACATGATCTGATCCCCTCCTCAGTAAATCCCATGTGTAGTGGCTGATGACACATCAGTCCTGTGTTTAGTTTCTTAATCTTGTTGGCTTCCTGCGTAGTGCTCTTGTCTGGTCACACCACCGGAGCTTACAGCCAGTGAACACCAAGAAGAAGAAGAATTAAAATGTAAAATGAAACACTGCAATATAAGTGGCAGAACATGGATACCAATGCTCACATGATAGCACAAATATGTTCATCAAAGAGAAGTAGAAGATTACACACAGCTGGCAACAACTTGGCAAGAGTTGCAAGAATATACAAATGACCAAATGGTTGGAATTCTACTGTACAACAGTGAGTGTTGGAAAATCTTAGCAGAAGTTACGCTATAAGTTTTTCAAAATAAATGTTTTAGGAGAATCTCTCAAATGTTTGGGCCAAACAAGATCCCAAAAATAGGAGCAGAAAAGACAAAAAACGTTTATCACTGGCAAATGTTATCAAAGAAAGAAGATGGAGATGGCTTGCGAAATGCCTCTGGATACTTCAGCAAGGACAGCTCTCAGATGGATGACAATTTGAAAAAAAGAGGCACGATGACCTAAGGAAACCTGGAGAATTACAGCAGAAAAGGCACTGATTTAATACAGAATGACATGGGATATAACAGGCAGACAAGATGCATCCAGCAACAATGGAGATCAACTGTCAGTGCCTTATGTGTCAACAACAACATGAAGAGGATGTAGGCAGACAGACATACAAACAATCTGAGACAGTAGCAGGTAGCAGACATACAATCTGAGACAGTAGCAGGTAGCAGACATACAATCTGAAACAGTAGCAGGTAGCAGACACACAAACAATCTGAGACAGTAGCAGGTAGCAGACACACAAACAATCTGAGACAGTAGCAGGTAGCAGACACACAAACAATCTGAAACAGTAGCAGGTAGCAGACACACAAACAATCTGAGACAGTAGCAGGTAGCAGACACACAATCTGAAACAGTAGCAGGTAGCAGACACACAAACAATCTGAGACAGTAGCAGGTAGCAGACACACAAACAATCTGAGACAGTAGCAGGTAGCAGACACACAAACAATCTGAAACAGTAGCAGGTAGCAGACACACAAACAATCTGAGACAGTAGCAGGTAGCAGACACACAATCTGAAACAGTAGCAGGTAGCAGACACACAAACAATCTGAGACAGTAGCAGGTAGCAGACACACAAACAATCTGAGACAGTAGCAGGTAGCAGACACACAAACAATCTGAAACAGTAGCAGGTAGCAGACACACAAACAATCTGAGACAGTAGCAGGTAGCAGACACACAATCAAACTGAGGACAGACACACAAACAATCTAGCAGGTAGCAGACACACAAACAATCTGAGACAGTAGCAGGTAGCAGACACACAAACAATCTGAAACAGTAGCAGGTAGCAGACACACAAACAATCTGAGACAGTAGCAGGTAGCAGACACACAAACAATCTGAAACAGTAGCAGGTAGCAGACATACATGTCACAGATTATTTCTAAACAACAAGTGTTGCTGACAAGTGCTAAGTGTGCAAAGACACATCACTGTCTCAATGACGTTTTCATTACTGTCAACAATAATAACAAGAGCATCCAGTAATTTCTGCTCTGGCCCTGAATCCACACATGGAGTCTAGGCTCTCAAGCAACTCACAAGCAGTTATAGCCCTGAATCCACACATGGAGTCTAGGCTCTCAAGCAACTCACAAGCAGTTATAGCCCTGAATCCACACATGGAGTCTAGGCCCTCAAGCAACTCACAAGCAGTTATAGCCCTGAATCCACACATGGAGTCTAGGCTCTCAAGCAACTCACAAGCAGTTATAGCCCTGAATCCACACATGGAGTCTAGGCTCTCAAGCAACTCACAAGCAGTTATAGCCCTGAATCCACACATGGAGTCTAGGCTCTCAAGCAACTCACAAGCAGTTATAGAATCCCTGAATCCACTCACACATGCCCTGAGTCTAGGCTCTCAAGCAACTCACAAGCAGTTATAGCCCTGAATCCATACATGGAGTCTAGGCTCTCAAGCAACTCACAAGCAGTTATAGCCCTGAGCCCTAGGCTCTCAAGCAACTCACAAGCAGTTATAGCCCTGAATCCACACATGGAGTCTAGGCTCTCAAGCAACTCACAAGCAGTTATAGCCCTGAATCCATACATGGAGTCTAGGCTCTCAAGCAACTCACAAGCAGTTATAGCCACTTGCTGCAGCTTCCTCACAATCTTCACAGAACTATTAACCTGTCTCTGTCTTCTCTGTGTGTGTTCACCTGTCTCTGTCTTCTCTGTGTGTGTTCACCTGTCTCTGTCTTCTCTGTGTGTGTTCACCTGTCTCTGTCTTCTCTGTGTGTGTTCACCTGTCTCTGTCTTCTCTGTGTGTGTTCATCTGTCTCTGTCTTCTCTGTGTGTTTGTTCACCTGTCTCTGTCTTCTCTGTGTGTTTGTTCACCTGTCTCTGTCTTCTCTGTGGGTATTCACCTGTCTCTGTCTTCTCTGTGTGTTTGTTCACCTGTCTCTGTCTTCTCTGTGTGTTTGTTCACCTGTCTCTGTCTTCTCTGTGTGTGTTCACCTGTCTCTGTCTTCTCTGTGTGTGTTCACCTGTCTCTGTCTTCTCTGTGTGTGTTCACCTGTCTCTGTCTTCTCTGTGTGTGTTCACCTGTCTCTGTCTTCTGTGTGTGTGTTCACCTGTCTCTGTCTTCTCTGTGTGTTCACCTGTCTCTGTCTTCTCTGTGTGTTCACCTGTCTCTGTCTTCTCTGTGTGTTCACCTGTCTCTGTCTTCTCTGTGTGTGTTCACCTGTCTCTGTCTTCTCTGTGTTTATTCACCTGTCTCTGTCTTCTCTGTGTGTATTCAGCTGTCTATGTCTTCTCTGTGTGTGTTCACCTGTCTCTGTCTTCTCTCTGTGTGTTCACCTGTCTCTGTCTTCTCTGTGTGTTCGTTCACCTGTCTATGTCTTCTCTGTGTGTGTTCACCTGTCTATGTCTTCTCTGTGTGTGTTCACCTGTCTATGTCTTCTCTGTGTGTGTTCACCTGTCTCTGTCTTCTCTGTGTGTGGTCACCTGTCTCTGTCTTCTCTGTGTGTGGTCACCTGTCTATGTCTTCTCTGTGTGTATTCACCTGTCTATGTCTTCTCTGTGTGTATTCACCTGTCTATGTCTTCTCTGTGTGTATTCACCTGTCTATGTCTTCTCTGTGTGTATTCACCTGTCTATGTCTTCTCTGTGTGTATTCACCTGTCTCTGTCTTCTCTGTGTGTGGTCACCTGTCTCTGTCTTCTCTGTGTGTGTTCACCTGTCTCTGTCTTCTCTGTGAGTGTTCACCTGTCTCTGTCTTCTCTGTGTGTGTTCACCTGTCTCTGTCTTCTCTGTGTGTGTTCACCTGTCTCTGTCTTCTCTGTGTGTGTTCACCTGTCTCTGTCTTTTCTGTGTGTGTTCACCTGTCTATGTCTTCTCTGTGTGTGGTCACCTGTCTCTGTCTTCTCTGTGTGTATTCACCTGTCTATGTCTTCTCTGTGTGTGTTCACCTGTCTCTGCCTTCTCTGTGTGTGGTCACCTGTCTCTGTCTTCTCTGTGTGTGGTCACCTGTCTCTGTCTTCTCTGTGTATGGTCACCTGTCTCTGTCTTCTCTGTGTGTGGTCACCTGTCTCTGTCTTCTCTGTGTGTGTTCACCTGTCTCTGTCTTCTCTGTGTGTGTGTTCACCTGTCTCTGTCTTCTCTGTGTGTGTGTTCACCTGTCTCTGTCTTCTCTGTGTGTGTGGTCACCTGTCTCTGTCTTTTGTGTGTGTGTGGTCACCTGTCTCTGTCTTCTCTGTGTGTGTTCACCTGTCTCTGTCTTCTCTGTGTGTGTTCACCTGTCTCTGTCTTCTCTGTGTGTGGTCACCTGTCTCTGTCTTCTCTGTGTGTGGTCACCTGTCTCTGTCTTCTCTGTGTGTATTCACCTGTCTATGTCTTCTCTGTGTGTGTTCACCTGTCTCTGTGTGTGTTTTCTCTTTAGGCCTCCCTACATGACTTCTGTAATACTGATCTGTTGACGGATGTCCATGATAGAAAAGCAGCGACCCCCCAGCAAATGAGATCTTATGTGTCAACAGAGGCGTGGTGAGGATTTTACAAGATAGATGCTGTGCAATAAGTTGAAGTTGTGAATGTTATTTTAAAACAATGTTAGAATATACTTGAACACAAGGCAAGAAGATCAAAAATGATAGCATCAAGGAGAACAACTTTAAAGAAATTAAGATTAACCTATACAATACATTAGAAAGGTACCTGAAGAAAAGGAAGAATACACTACACTAGAGAATACCATTCAATATCTGCAGAGGGAGACTGACTAACTATAGATGTGCCCAGTGTATACAGATGCTTGCAATGTTAAGAAACAAAGCCTCAGCTGGTGTGACCAAGTTTGTAGGTGTCAAAGTCTGAACAAACTGAGGTGAAAAACATGGCAGTAGCTTACCAGTGACACTTGGGAGGCACCAATTTTGTCAGTGCCTCTAGGGACTTTTCAGATCTATACTCCTGAAACAACAATTAATCATCCGTCATTGATTCATGATTGTGTCAGTTTATGCTGGCATAGATTAGCAATGAAGTATTTTGGTAAAACCTTCAAACAAATAATATTTCATAAATTTTATAACAGATGAAACAATTGTGAGACATGCATTCTGTGGCCATCATGACACCCCGGCCTGCACAAACGTTACAGGAAACTCAAGCCAGGACCCCCTGGCAGCAGCAAGTTAGAAACAGTAGCTACTGCTTTCCAGCTTCCCAGTTTATGGATATCAGATATAGCCACTGCATGACCGAGTCAGTGAGTCTCTCAAGAACTGTTTTACCCATCTCATGAGTGCCAATTCACCTAGGTCCCTTTTCAATGCCTTTTAGGCGTATTTGGAATATAGGGTTGGACCTATACTTTTATAGACCAATCAGCACTTGGGGGGTGATGTGGTCAGCACCACGCCAGCCGCCTTTACTTCCCAGGACTGCATGTGTGACCCACTCAAGGCTGGATCGACCTGGGAGTCAAAGTCATTTTTGAAAAAGTCTGGCTTCTAAAAAAAAGTCTGGATGCTAACCGACCTTCTGGTCTGCAGGCGGGCGTCTAGCCACCAACGCCACAGCGACTCTCACACAGGGGACTTAACTTTGAACACAAATTTTATATAATATGACTTAACATTCAACAGTCAAATTAGTCAAAAGATTACCATATGCTAGCTTGGAAGGTAGCGAGTCTATGCTTGTTTTACCCTGTAATGGGTGCACAGAACCCACACAGAGAAAATAAATATTTGAAACACATCCCGTGTACAAGACAAATTACCCATTCATTTAAAACTTTCAAATTGTGGGAAAACATCAATCTTATACACAGAAAAATACACTATATACACATGAGAGGTTCCATAGATGCCTATCAACTGTAAAGACTATGAAACGATAAATGCTGATCCAACAGTCCCTATACAAGCAATAATGTTTACATCTGGATTGATATCTGAGGAAAACTGAAGCAGGAAGAAGGAGAAACGCCGAAGAAGAAGAGGAGGACAGAAAGATGAAATGGAAGAAAAGGAGAAATAGACAGACAGAAAGAGGGAGAAAGGGAAATGAGGAGCAAGAGGAGAAGAAGAAAACAAAAATAAAGATAGCCACTGTATCACACAATGGCTACACTGGGACTGACAGACGTACCTGTACAAAAGCCACCGTGACTACAATGATAATGGCCTGTTAGAACAAAAGAAGAAAAGCATTAAATCTGTTATTCAACAAGAACTCACAAAGGTATTCAATTATTTGCATACACAGCTCATCATGGATCAACAGGTCCTTTACAGAACATTGCTCTCTTCCCAGCTCACTAAAAGTCTCTCTTTCTCTAGCCAGTTCTCCAGCCCTATGTGTTTTCGTAGTTAATGCAACTTCAAGGTCTTATTTCCACATCCATGGAGGTCAAAGGTCAGCCTCTGCTGGTGTTCCAGAAACTGTGCCCTAAATCACCCTTCTCTCCAGGCCACCCTGACATTTATCAAGGATAAAATACCTCAGCTTCCGGAAGAGAGTGCTTTATGAGCCAATTCTCGTCGATAATCAAATTATGTAGAAGGTCAATTTTTTCTTCTTCTTGGTACACGGTATTCTAAGAATTTGTCTTTAGCCTTTCAGTTTAAAAGTTCTAATTTGTTTCTCCAAAAACTAAGCAACAGTCTATGACTCACAATCATAGATTCGCCATTGAAAAATGAGACACTGACTTTATAATGGTCAAGACACACACGTTCTCCACGAAGCAAAGCATCCATCCAGACACCTTTCATCTATGATTTGCTTAACCTGCACAGCCAACGGGTCAGCAAATGACAGTTAACCCAGTATTCTGCTAAACTAGTGAGAATTGCATTCTGTAACCTCTCATTGTTTAATTATCGAATGGTGTAAAAGAATTCACATCAAAGATATAACTGAAGAATTCACATCAAAGATAACCTTCAAGAATTCACATCGAACAATATCATTCTAGAATTCACATTAAAGACATTCTTCTTCTTGAGTGTTCACTGGTTGTACACACTAGTGGTCTCAAGGCATGGCATCTGCCTCCATTGCTTGAGGTCACGTGGACATATTAAACAGCAGAAAGTCACTAAAGAAACAGTTTTTTACTCTAGTGGCATATCAGAAATATGCTCATCACATTTTTATAGACCAATCGGCACTCAATCCATGATGTGGTCAACATCATGCCGGCCACTTTTACTTCCCTAGACAACACCTCATACCCATTATAGACTGTGCCAACCTGCCAGCCAAAGTTGATTTTTTTTTAATGACTTAATGCAGATTCGAACACAAAACATTCAAGCCAACAGATAAGCATCTAGCTGTGAGGCTCACATGAAACAGCAGGTGCAGAGAATACAAATACACTTACCGTGGTGATACTCATGGCATCGTCAAACTGTCTCATGAACAGGCTGATTGCTGCCGAGGCCAAAAGCAGCAAGATCAGTGGGTTGTTGAACTGAAAGTACAGTGGAACATTGTTTTTATTCATGACCAGGAACTGTTAAACTGAAAATTTCATTTCATTAATGATGAGAAATTGTTAAGCTGAAAATATACTTCTCTTCATTAATGATAAATATCTATTAGGCTAAAAATACATTTTCATTAAAGATGAGGAATTATTGTGAAAATATATTTGTTCTCATTAATGACGGGGAGTTGTAACATGAAAATATATTTGTTCTCATTAATGACGGGTAGTTGTAACATGAAAATATATTTGTTCTCATTAATGACAGGGAGTTGTAACATGAAAATATATTTGTTCTCATTAATGACGGGGAGTTGTAACATGAAAATATATTTGTTCTCATTAATGACGGGGAGTTGTAACATGAAAATATATTTGTTTTCATTAATGACGGGGAGTTGTAACATGAAAATATATTTGTTCTCATTAATGACGGGGAGTTGTAACATGAAAATATATTTGTTCATCTTAATGATCAGGAATTGTGACAAGAAAATATATTTGTTCTCATTAATGACGGGGATTTGTAACATGAAAATATACTTGTTTATCTAAATTATGGGGAATTGTAACAAGAAAATATATATGTTCTCATTAATGATGGGGAAGTGTAACCTGAAAATTTATTTGAAGACTGCCTTAATTTATAATGAGAAATGCTGGGTTAGCATGCTGTCTTACCCATGCAGTGAGTGGTCAGAGTTCAAGCTCACTTTTTGTTTTTACCTAATCAGCAAACATCCAAATTAGCAGAAGATTTCATTCACCATGTCATGCTGGCTTCACTCAGATATATCCAAACTATTGTAGCTTCAATTAGCCAACATGTCTCCACTACAACAACTTTTTTTACCTATGTCAACTTTAATACCCATGTCAACTTTAATGCCCATGTCAATGTTTATATCCATATCAACTTGTATACCTATGTCAACTTTTATACCCATGTTTACTTTTATACCCATGTCAACTTCAATACCCATGTCAACATTTATATACATGTCAACTTTTATACCCATGTCAACTTTTATACCCATGTAAACTTTAATACTCAGGTCAACTTGAATACACATGCCAACTTTAACACCATGTCAACTTTTATACCAATGTCAACTTGTATACCCATGTCAACTTTTATACCCATGTCAATGTATGTCCAAGTCAACTTTTACACTTATGTCAACTTTTATATCCATGTCAACTTTTCTACCCATGTCAACTTGTACATCTATGTAAACTTGTGTGCATATATCGATTATTATACCTATCAAAGCAGTGTTTCCCTGCTGTAAATTTGAATAAAGAAGACAACAATAGACTGCACAATGTATTGCCTATGTCAACTTTTAAATCTATATCAACCATTATACATATGTCAACTTTGTCCAAATCTGTGGCTTAGGTGTCAAAAATGTGGTCTGTAATTCATAAATACTCACTTTGATTCAGCTGCAGGTAAAACTGGCAGCGGATCCACTGTGTGTTCATTTCCACAAGGGTATAGGTGTGTTCATTACAACAATGGTATAGAGAAAGCAATAGCAAACTATGAATGTAAAATTGCCTAGTAGAACCACAAGCAGTCAACAAATGCTGAAGCTGGGCTGCACCATCTTGTAAATATATACAGCTTACATTTTTTTCAAAACCAACTTCATTGTGACATTTACCTGGTCAACATGTTTCCACAAAAGAAACTGTTTATTGTAGGTTAACATAACTGGGGTGTTTACCTGGCCAACATATTTTTTCCACAGTGGATCTTCCGTAGCAATGTCAAAATTATTAGGGCCGTGCACCAGAAGTCTGCGGCGAACCTCGTTCTCCGAGAGACCATTGACTACGTCCGTGTGCAGCATGTCCTGGACATCCCTGACTGTCATGGAAGCAGCTCCGGCCGAGGTCAGCTGTGACATCATGGCCGTGTGGGCAGGCAATCACAGGCCGCACTCAAACCTAGGCCAAGACAAAACACATCATGTCATCTGAAACACTAATACATGTCATCCACAACCTTATGGGATGTCTGGTAGCTGAAACAGTATTACATGTCATCTACAACCTTATGGGATGTCTGGTAGCTGAAACAGTACTACATGTCATCTACAACCTTATGTGATATATGGTAGCTGAAACAGTACTACATGTCATCCACAACCTTATGGGATATATGGTAGCTGAAACAGTACTACATGTCATCCACAACCTTATGGGATGTCTGGTAGCTGAAACAGTACTACATGTCATCCACAACCTTATGGGATGTCTGGTAGCTGAAACAGTACTACATGTCATCCACAACCTTATGGGATATATGGTAGCTGAAACAGTACTACATGTCATCCACAACCTTATGGGATATATGGTAGCTGAAACAGTACTACATGTCATCCACAACCTTATGGGATATATGGTAGCTGAAACAGTACTACATGTCATGCACAACCTTATGGGATATATGATAGCTGAAACACTAATACATGTCATCCACAACCTTATGGGATGTCTGGTAGCTGAAAAAAGTACTACATGTCATCCACAACCTTATGGGATATATGGTAGCTGAAACAGTACCACATTTTATCCACAAGTTTATGGGATGTCTGGTAGCTGAAACAGTACCACATTTTATCCACAAGTTTATGGGATGTCTGGTAGCAGAAACAGTACCACATGTCATCCACAAGTTTAACACAAGGGATAGTCTGGTAGCAGAAACAGTACCACATGTCATCCACAAGTTTAACACATGGGTAATTTGGTAGCTGAAACAGTATAGCATATCATCCACAAATGTATGGGAAGTCCGGTAGCTGAAACATCATAAGTCATTCACAGGTTTTACATACAAGAATTGTAGTAGTGTAATCATCATGTCCCCGGCTACATCAGGGACAGCATAGAGAGCTACCCTGTCTACAGTGAAATGAAGATTTTTTGCCTAGGATTATTGGACCACCAACAGAAAAACCCACTCTTCCCCCGCACTGATGCTGCTCCAATCAATACCAGCCCTTGTCATAACAGCCCAATCAATAAAACCAGGTTCATGTTTTCAGAACAAGAACAAACAAACAAAGCCAGAGTCAAACAAACATTAACCAATGGCAACAGCATGCATGTCCTAGTAAGCTTATCAATTTACTTCATTTTCTTCATCTCTCCCCAGCCATGATCTATTTCCTATCTCTTCCCCTTCTTCTTCACATTCGCCATATTACCCTTTAAAGTACACCTGGCATGTTATGTTGTGGTTTAAAGATCGGTGTGATATCTGCACTTTTCAGCCCAAGACATCTGACTTCAGCAAACTCCTAATTAGTCGCCTTTAAGACATACTTCTAAATGGACAGAAAATCTACCCCCCCCCCCCCCCCTCCCCCCCCCCCCCAACCACACAGGGGCCTAAGACCCAACAGGAAAGCTTAAGATTGGCTAATAAGAAATCTATTACTATTATACATTATCTATTACTCAAGTTTGAGCACCAAGAAATGATTACAAATACCATATACATACCAACATTGTGCTACCAGTGCCAGACTTGGACATTACCAAATAGCTAACCCATGTAAAATTGAAACCTGTGAAATGAGATGCCTGAGAAAAGCCACCAGTTTAGCCATCTGAGACAAAGTAAGAAATGATATTATCAGACAGACTATAGGAACAACACCATGCAGCGCATTCACTGAGAAACAGAAGATCAAATTGTTTGGTCATTTAGTGAAAATGCAGCCAGAACAACTACCAAGGCAGGCGCTACACACAAAAAGATCTGAAGTGAAAGCAAGAGGCGGACCTAGGAGAATATGGACTGATGACATTAAAGAGTTTCTAGTAGTAGTCATCATCATCAGCAGGTGCCTTGCCGACTGGCGTGGGCAATCATACCTCTCCATAATCTGCGATCTCCTGCAGCATGTATCAGTTCGTGTGCCGACACACCTCCATGCCATGCAACAAGACTGTCAAGCATCTTCGCTCGTTGCGTTCCTCTATCTCTCCTTCCACAGATCTTTCCAGTAGTCACAACATGTTCTGTTTTCCCTCTTCTCACATCATGGCCCGAAAAATGATGACTGTCTCCTTCTGATGTCTGTGATAAGTTGTCTTCGGGCTCCCGCCTCTTTCAAAACCTCTTGGTTGCTCTTTTTGGCTGTCCAAGGTATTCTAAGCCTTCTTCTGTAAAACAACATTTTTGAGGCCTCTAGAAATTGTTTGGCCTGCCTACTGATTGTCCAGGATTCACAGCCATATGTTAAAACTGGATGTATGTTGCAAGCAAGAATTCTTTTTCTAACTCTCAATGACAAGGATATATTGCACAAGATGTTTTTCATTTTATAAAATGCAGTTTTTGCCTGTCCTATTCTGTTTCTTATCTCAGTTATGCATCTTCCATCTGATGTTATCCATGTGCCCAGATACTTAAATTTCTGTACTTGTCCTAAAATAACACCATCAACTTTTATTACACACTTGGGAATAATTTGTTTCTTTGATACCACCATTACTTCTGTCTTCCCATTATTCAAACTGAGGACCATTCTTCCACTTTCTAACACCACAATGACTATCATTTCCTGTAGTTTTTTCTGACTTTTTGCTATCAAGACTGTGTCATCAGCATAATGTAATAGTAGGACTAGTAGTAGTAGTACATTTTATCCAAATAGGATAAAACACAATCGATAAACACCTAATGACACAAAGTGCCACCAAGTGGATGAGGATCACCCGTGAAGAGGTCCCAGAAACCGCGTTCAGCCATTAGGCCATATTTATGGCTGGGCTATACTGCCGCCCCCCTGGCAAGAGCCAGGGTGGGGCTTAAAAACTAATAAAAAATAAAGAGCTTCAGACTGACTGACTTTCTACCCCACCAGGACATCACACAAGCAATAAACACCCGATGACACAATGTGCCAATCATTTGGATGAGGATCCCAGAAACCGCCTTCAGCCATTAGGCCATATTTATG